TATATATATATAAAACTTTACATAATTTGAAATTAGTAAAATAATAATCAAAAGAAATAAAACGACGAAGCAATACAAATTTTATTCCAAAATTAAAGCTTGAAGTCCAAGTAATTAAATTTTAAAAGAATCTTAGTAATATTTGAAATTTTCAATCTGAGTGAAATTATAAAAAAATATTTAAATACTATTATTATTCATAAAATCTTAGGTTCTGTTTCACCCTATTTCAGATAATTAACTTAAATATTTTTAGAATTGCAGACTGGCAAAAAGTTTTTGCTATAAATTTTCTTTTTATAGTTTGAAAACTAAGTATAATGTAACAAACCTAGTCCAATTTCTTAGAATTTTTTAATAGATAATTTTAATTTGATCTTTGAGAATTTTTAATAGATCTTTAAGAGCCGTGGTGGTTCAGGGGATACAACGTTTTCCTTCCAATGAGGTGAACCATTTGTGAATTTTACCGATGGCTGGACGATATCAATTCCACACCTGGGTCACACTGACCACAGTGCAAACGTAAAATATCCTCAGGGTAAGTGGATTATGGATTAGAGTCCCCTTGCCGTCAGGTTAATCGTGGTTTATTTTCGTGGTCTTTTTCTCCGTGTAACGCAAATGCGGGTTAGTTCCATCAAAAAGTCCTCCACGAAGGCAACTTTATCACAATGTACTTGATCCAGGAGTTCCCTTGTCTTCTGGATTGGGTTCAAAATTACAAGGCTATGGAGTTGAACACTAATAGTTGTAAACCCAAAATTGGGTCAGATGTTCAACCACGGTTATAAAAAAATCGACCTTTAAATAAGACTCTGATTGCAAAAATAAATAAATAGGATAACCTGCTTGATTTATGAGATGCTTGATGATGAGAATTCAGGAGCATGATGATGAGCTCTTTATTGCGTATGGTAGTAAGTAGGTACTTTATTTACGTCGCAGTAGAGCTGCGCATTGGGCTATTGGCGATAGATTGGGAAGCATCCCTGAGGATGATCTGAAAACATACCATCACAATTTTATGAGACCACTTCTTCAATTTAGACATAGTGGGAGGAAATTTTTTCCAGATTCCTGTACCCACGGTACTGCTCAGCAACCGACCACAGGACTTTCGATTCCACAGATTTTACGAACACACACATCGCATGTACTCGGTGGTTCTTAACGGAGTCGAGGATCGAACCTCGACCCCTCCGGACCGAAGTCCGTTCTCTAACCGCGGGGCTGCCACCCCGTGGTTAGAGATGTTCAACCACGGCTCCATTGCATATGGCTTTCTTCTATATCAGCACGATGAAATAGTCTCAGAAAGGTGGCAAAATTCGAAGGAAATTTTTTCGAGCGATTTTATTCCAGTGAAGGCAGGTCTCATACAAAATTGAATTGTATAAAGATTCCTATGGTTTATTAAAGCTTTTGCCGACTATTTGATTTTATTGTTTTGTTAACATCTAGCTAAAACTACACTAATGGTGAATTCTTAGGCACGAGGGCGATTAAAAGTACTGAGATCCTGTCCTATATTTCTAGGAATATAAGAGTATCTTCAAGTATGCGCGAGTTTCTAAAGTAGTACACGTAGTTTTTTTAACATTCGCATGCACGTCTACGGCAATGCTCGCATACTCGTCTAAAAAATTTTCAGGCATCGCGAAGTGTGGAAAAGTAAAGATTAAAATCTGCTAATCAAACTATGGGGACTGCGACTACCCTTTATATTTCGGGAGTCAAAAATCCGAATCCGTTGAAAAAAAGTATGTTTATTCTAAGAAAAATCGTTTTTGTGACTGATTTCCTAATTTAAAAATAATCGTCTACTTTTGAGGTCTCCTCCTTGAACCATTAAGATTGAGTCCTAGAGCTTGAAGATCCGATCATTAGAATCAAGAGTTATTCAGGGTGATCCGCTTTTTTAGGTACTTGCACCCTTTATCAAAAAGCTTGGCACACATTCTTTTACCGGAGTGTAGAGCAATTGGTTGTAACGCAAATGCACTGAAATTGGTCTTGTAGGAAAATTGCCTTCGAAGAATATTATAAAGCTAAAAGCACGGTATTCATCATTATAAACTGACCTTCTTCTGTATTCAATCAATTAATCAATCTAAAATCAAAACAAACTTTAAAATTTAGGTATCTCGGTGTTTATAAAATATTCTGATCGCAAAATCTTTGTTAAAATCTGCTTGAATGTTAAAATTTCTTTCTCTATTTAAAAAAGAATGGCTTTTACATTCACTATGTATTCAAATTAAATAAGTTTAAGCAATTTTAATATCTAAGTTTAGGTATGGAAGAGCCTTGTTCATATGATGATCTTCTTTCTCTTCAACGAAAGGAAAAGAAAGATTTATTAGGTTTGAAATTTTTTTTATGCTTCCATTCAGTGAACAAAGTTTCGAAAAACTGCTTAGTTACAAAAAGTATATTATTATCTAAAAAAAAATGGTTTCTCTTTTAACTAACTGTCCGTGATTTCTAATAAATTAGTTTATTGCTACGTTTTGGATAAACAAGTTATCGAATTAATGTAACACTCATAATGTTTAGTAACTGTGCAACAAATTATAATTAATTTGTGAAAAATTTACTGATAAAAATTAATAAAGAGTTAGGACCTAAATAATTTGAATAAAATGCACACGTTAATTAATTTATGACTTTACATTCAAAGGGGAGATTTCCGTATCGTGATCTGTGGCAGAATAATCGCCAAGTGTTGGAAACTTCCCGGGCATTATCCCGCGAGAAACTAAAAAAAACATCACAGAAAGGGACCAGCTCGAAAGGTATAATTCGTAGCCACCCCCGGCAAACATCTACATGTTTTTTTGTTTTTTTTTTTAAAATTTGCAAGTTTAAAATCTATTTGGCACCTTGGCGATTGTACTTAGTGCAACAGATCACGATACGAAAATATACCCCATTAAAAAATTTTTACACTATTATGGGAAAGATATTGTTTTCAAGAAGGATACAGAGTGTTTTAGATTTTACAAAATATTATACAAAATTTATCCGGATACAAAATCTTATTTATTTATCCAAAAAGTAAGTTTGAACTGGCTAGTTACAGTTGCATGAGAATTTAAAAATATATTATGCAATTTTTTTGGGATTTTTATAAAAATTACGGCAAGGCCAAGTGTCGCCAACCTTTTGGCGACCTATCTAAAAAGGTCACCAAAGGGTTGGAGGCAAAAGGGTAGTCCAATCATGACATCACGATGGGGGGAGGAAGAGACATAAATGTCACGATCAGAGAAAAACTGGTTTCATCTGCCAGAAACATTATCTTCCTTCCTTGGCGATCAAATGGAACTTGTCGCCAACTTGCCGTAGTTATGATAATTGCCCCAATTTTTTTTTAACATTGGTGAACAGAGTTTCAATTGGTTTATTTATTAGCCAATGGAGAGTAATATAAACAAAAAACATTCTAATAGAGAGATTTTGCTTAGCATTATGGCTTTCCACTAATGTTATTTAATCTGTACAGTGCAGGCTCAAAAGAATTGTCATGGAAAAGGCTATACAGAATCTATCCGATGTAAAGTTCCTACATTTTTATGCAATTGTTTTTTACAAATATTTTACACAATATTTGTCACCTTGTAAAACTTTTGTCACCATTACTGCCATACCATTTAGGTATTACATATTTCATGACTTTTAATGTTTCTTTAATTTCATAAATGTAATTTTTTTAATCATTCTTAATCCTGTAATAATTAAATTAAATCAATTTAATTTTTATCGCATTTTATAAAAAGCAAATGTAATACTTTTATTCTTTTTGTTGCAATCAATGTTGCTTAACTTTTTAATTCAATTATAATTTTAAAAATGCTGCCTAATTAAGAAGGATTATTTTCTTTGGTTTATGATATCGAAGCAATTTCCCTATTTTAGTACAAAGTCAGAATTACACTATAAATATGGGGCATAATAAATACTGTATGCAATTGAATGAGAAAATGGTAAAAGGAAAATTCTGCATTAGAGTACTTATTTATGATAAAATGAATTAACATTAAATTTATCATAAATAGCATAAGATGTTTAATCGGACAATGTTTTAGTTATCTTTTTTTTACAATTTAATTTTCATGATTGTTTAATTTTGTAAGATCAGCTTCATCCAACAAAAGGTGTATTTTATTAAATTAATTGAATTTAGTAAGTTATTCAATGTTTTTACTTTTTTTCAGCTAAAACTCAAAAAATGAAACATAGTATAGCTAAAGGGGATAAAAAGAAGAAAAAAGAAGTTACAGCTGAAATTGCTCAACTTCTAGCTGATTTAGAGTTGAAACACGAAAAACAGCTTAAGTTATATGAAGTAAGCATTGTTTCTCTTCATTGGAAGTACTAAATCCATTTGTATTCGTGTAAATGGAAAATTTCCTTTGTTTCAATATTAAAACGGAAAAAGTTGACATATTAGGTGCAATCAAATCAAGTCACCTATATGTAAAACCAACCACATGTGAAAACGTGTAAAGTGAAAAAGTGTAAGGAGATGTTTACAATTTAATTATTTTCTCTTTTTTTCACAAAAGATATTATAATTTTATTATATTATTTTAAACTGAAACTTAAATATATTTATTATTTATTTCACTGAAATGAGAATATTATTAATTTCAATTAGTTTACATTACCTTGTTATAAAAGTGTCTTTATTTTAAAATGAGTGTAATTTAAATTTGTAGTCATACATATTAGCTACAAAAGAAAAGGATATTTCTTGTATTGACTTTATGAGACCAACATTTTCTCTTATAACTCTATAGAATCACAATAAATTAAAAAAATTTTGATTAAAGCTTTCTGGAATTAAGTTTTTTTAGTTCACATGAAATCTATGCCAGTATGTTGATATGGAAACCTAGGTTTTCAAATAAGGCATTTTAAAAAAAAAAAAAGATGGAAATATTCTTGATAATTAACCTTTTTTTTTAAAAAAACAAACAATTATATATATTTTTGTCATTTTAACAATTCATGTTAATTTCATAATTTAAACATTAGTCGTTATTGATTTATTAAGACTAATAACTTTAAGTTTTTGTTAACATTGATGATGTTTGAAAAGGCACTAATCTCCATTAATTATGGTTAGTACGAATTTTCTATGAGCATCAATAGTAAAATATCTAAATGCTTCAATTCTGATTTCTCAAAATGTATTAGCACATAAAGAATTTTAAATTTTCATAGACTACTAATGCTGCAAAAAAAGAGTGTTATTTTCAATTCAAATTTTAAAATGACATTAAATTTGTATGTAAAAAAAATAGCTTATAATTTTTTCACACTCGGTATATTTTTCCTATGCTCTTTAATCTTTAGGTGTATATTGTTTTATTTAATGTGTTTATTAAGGGGCAGAATGCTGAAAATCCAGATACTACAGACAATGGCTGTATCGAACAAGCAATAGCTGATGAAAATATTAAAAATAATTCTACGAAGGAAGAGACTGATATTGTAGAGACATTAGATGAAGATAACGAGGCTGAAGCACCAAATACTGCTGCGAAAGTGAGCAAAGCTCAAAAACGAAGAGTAAGAAAGTTTTTCATACTTATACTTAATTTTTTGCCAATATAAAATTTTTAGTATAAATTTGTTGAATATTTTTATTTTTTTAATAGAACTTTACCAAAAGTGCTTTTCTTTATCTTATTTATTTTTGATAATGTTAACTAAAACTATTAAAATTTGAGGCAAAATGTTTCTTAGAATTTTTAGGCATATTTTATCTTTCAATTATAGAAAGAAAAAGGAAATATCTATTCTTTTTGCTTTAATTTCTTTGAAAAAATATTCTTTTTATTTGATAAAGAATGAAAAAGAAATGTTCAATGAAAATGCAATAAAAGAAATATAAGTGTACAATACAATGCTATAAAAGAAATATACAATACAGGAATAAAACTACATTAAGAATTGTTTAACATGTATTTTGAAAGTTTTTTTTTTCTCCTCTCTACTCACAGCTTAATATTATACTTGTGTAAATATTTGAATTTTTATGCACATGTTTTTAGATGCATGTTTCACGTCGTCGGGAAAAACTTCTTGTAACCTTTGAATAGAGAAAATTTCAGATCATGTTTTGTTTAAGGACAAAGTTTGCTTTGATAAGTTATGTAAACAAATCAAAATCTTACATACAAGTTGGACAAATTTCCACTCCTACCAGCACCAGCACATACCAGCAATATATATATGTTGCTGGTATGTTATGCAGAGAAGTTGTACAAAAAAGTGGGTGAAGAAAATGTGAAAATGTGAAGAAAATGTGGGTGAAGAAGTGTTTATTTCTAAAACGCTATAGTGTAGAAAAGATGTCTTATATAAAAAGAAGTTTGATATAAAAATTTCGAAATTGATTAATAGCTTCCCATTGCACATCACACTTGAAATATATTAAAACTGATAAAATTTATTATTTTATATTGTTAATATTTATAACCATAATTTCCAAAATTTTGCAAGTGAAAATACCATCTTAAAAGTTTGTTTACCCAATATGGTGTATACACATACCTTCTAATATTTGAGGTTTTTACCAAATATTATTTACAATGGTAGTTAACTAAAGCAGAAATATTCTACGACTCTTAACAAGACGTAGGTCATAGTGTTATGAGCATTTGCTCACTTGTCCTTCTATATATTTGTTTAAATTATTTATTTGTGGTGGTGGATATAATTTTTTAAATTTTAATTTATTAAAACATTAATGCATAAACACTATGTAAATTATTTTCTGAAACTATGGAAATTCTGTAGCTGTTAGGGGGTATATATCGACCACTTTTTACTGACAGTACTTCCTAATTAACATTAAAGATAAAGAAAAATATTCCACAGCTACAGAATTATAATGAAATAATATAATGATTTTAAGTTTCTAATTTATATTGTACTTTACAGTAGCGTGTGTAATTTTAAAAAGACTATATTTCTAGTTTTCACTCACTTCTGGATTCTATATAGTAAACTTATGTTTGATAGTGCATTATTTCAACTTCCTAAGATTTTATTTACTAAGAAATAAATTTTGCTTTTAAAATAGAACAAAAAAGCTCAGCAACGAAAAGAAAGGGAAATAGCTATTGCTAGTCAAGCAGAAGAAAATTTATTTGGCCTACGCCACGTAGAATCTTTNTACTTCTAAGTTACTAAACTTAAATCAGTGTTACTCTGTAGCTAATCATTAGAATCATAGGTTATGAATTAAAAACAGGTTTATTATTATAATTTTTTTATTACGCCAAACAAATCAGCATAACTTAAAATAAATAATGCATTATAGTTTTGTTCCTTGCATTCTTTCTGAAATAAGAGAATTTTTATTTTTCTATTATTTAAAAAGTTATTTTAATTTTATTTTCTAATGTTATTGAAGAAACAATTTATTTTAGCAATTATGTCATCATAGAGTTCTCTAACCCTACTGGTTGAAGTTTATTATTTGCCTATTATCAATCAATCCATTACTTTAGTCAATATTTGTCAATAATAACAAGGTGTTTTTTAATGAAATGTTTGTGAGTAATAATAATTGTCTAATGGCTTCAATTTCTTCTTTTGTGTAATTTCTATAAAGAATTTTAATTAAATTAAGACAAAAAATGAAGTTGCACTTTTTCCTTGCAAATCAAAATGTGCCTTCACGAGTAATACATTGTCAATAAAGTGCAAGATAACAACTTTACTTGATCAACATTTTGCTTCTGGTAACTTATTGTAGGCAGATACAGGCTGTTAGTAGCCAGGTACATCATAGTGGTGTCAGCTTAGACTTCTTTATTTTTTTTTTAAATTTAATAGTTAGTATTTATTGCATATTTCTGTATAAATAATTTGTGTGTAATGTTATATTACTGTTACAATATGTAAGATACGGTAACTAATTTGCAAATATTTATTTTTGTTTTTAGATTCCTTCTGATGGAAATTGGTATGTAGCATCATTTTTATCATGATTCATTAGTCTAAGGTATGTGAATTGATAAATCATTTGGTTATTAGCTTACTGCTATCTTGAGAAACGGTAACACTCAAAATTGAATTACATATGAACTTGAGATAATTTTAATACCAGACTTCCATTGTCATAGTCAAAGTAAACAAGCATTGAGAACTGAGAATTGTTTGAAAAAATTTATTATGTTGTTCACTTATTCAATGTTAATGTTAAATTAATATATTTGTTTATAATTATTATATATTTTTCTTAAATATTTGCTAATTTTTTTAAAATTTTTCTTTTAATATTGCATATTTTTTTAATGTAATGTTTTAAGTACTTTTCTACAATTTTAAATGAAAATTTTATGTTAAGATAAAGTATGATCTTAAAATAAACTGAGTCAATCACTCTTAAGAACGATTTCACAGCTGTAATTTTTTATAATTATATGTAGTTTTGTGTTTGTAGTGAAATCTTTGTTTTATAATGTAATTTTTTCAAAATTGTAATTTAAAGATTTAAGGGTTGTGTTTTAAAGTTTTTTTATTACTTATAAATTTGCTCTTGTTTTTGTTTTTTATTTTTTATTGTTAAAGAAAATTGCCTTGATACACTTTCTCTAATTTCCAGTTTATATCAAGCCATTGTGCATCAACTAACTATTTTCAATTTAGAAGTAAGATATTATTTTTGTTAATTCTATTCGAATTGCATATTTTTGAATGTTATGTAATCAGTTTTTATAGTAAAGTTACATTTGTTAAAAATTATTCTTAAAATAATTATTTTAATTGATAAATATTTTTTAATAATTGTAAAATCATAAACAACTGTTGCTAAAGTTGAATACAGTAGGAAAAAGTTTAGAGATGGTCGTCTCAAAAAGGGTAAAAGAGTTCAGTATTTTCACAAAAAATGTAGAATAAGTACTTCCCTTAGTTGAAAAAAAAATTTCATGAAAATGTTAAAATCAAAAGGAAAAAGATAAAGGATTTTTTTTTATTTAAATGCAACAATCTATTTTATTTTTATCATGCACTTTAGAGGGATGTTAGCACACCCACTAATTTATAAATATGACAATTTAAATATATATGACAATATAAATATTTTTCTTAATGAAACTAAATGTTTTGCCAATTGGGTTATAAGTATGTTAGGTTGTTGCTAGAATACCTATAAATTTATAAAATTATTTTATAACAATTAAAGTATTTTTTTTAATGTAACTGAATGTTTTGCTAATTAGGTAATAATTAAAAGATAATATGACGACATATATGATATGACAATATGATATGAAGATAATATGACATATAAGCTTTCTTAATATAAATCTGTGTTTTACTAATTACTTTATTAGTATGTTAGGTCGATGTCAACATACCTACAGATTATTTACATTAAAACACCTTACAAATTTACTTTCAATTATAATGAGATAATATAAGTATTTTTTTTTTAATTTTACTGAACATTTTAATATTAAAGATAGTTTTAAAATATAGCTCTGTAAATTAATTAAATTCTCTTGTCTAGTGAATAAACTTTTTGCTATTCTTCAATTTTTATTGATTCTAACAATCTAAAAAAACTTTCTATTAGTAGCATACAGTTATTATTTATTTATTGAAACCAATAATTAATTTGCATTTAAAATTAAAACCTGAACTGTAAATAGTAATTATTTAAACTATAAATTTAAAATTAATAATCTGATTTCAAGACGTTTGCTTTTTAGATTAGATTTTCTAATTAAAATTATTTTTACTCTTTACTCCATCTTACCTTCTACTCCGATGAAAATAATTTTTGTTCATTTTATTATGCTATTAAATGTTTTAAATTTTTTTTTCTTTTCTTAAGGAACAGCATCACTGTCTCAAAATAAGACAATGTTTTCATAAAAAATAATATGCTCAGAAACTTATTAACTAAAATATTTCTTAAATTTGTATTAAATCTGGAATGTTTTTTGATTGTACAAGCTATTTTTTTTAATCATGGTCTTTGATCCCTTTCAAAAATATTTTCCTGACATTAAATATTACTTATCATTTCCTGCCATCATATTTTAAATTTGTTGAAAATACTATAATTTTCTGGTTTTGAAACTTCGCACATTTTTATTTATTTATTTTAAAAAAATATCAGTTAGTATAATGCTTCACAAGTTGTTTTAACAAATTTTAACATCTAAGGCCACTTTGTAAAATTTTTAATTTTTATTTGACTATTCATATAAATAGAATTAAGCTTGATGTAAATGCGTTTTGTTTTCTTTGAATACAAATACTGATAAACATTGAAAGATTTGCTTATTTTTTTAAACACATAATTATTCTATTTTTATGTTTTTTAGAAAAGAACTGTTCCATCTTTGCGGGAAGAAGCAGCTAAGTATTTACGATTGCACAAAGAAGACTACTTGCCATTTATCACTCATCCTGAAACAGGAGATATGTTGACAGATGGTAATATTCTCTCTTTTTTTTAGTTTATACAGTTAGTTTAGTTCAACCTTCATTCTTAAAGAAACTTTTGATCTAATATTCATTTGGGTTCATTTGTTTAATTTTTTTGGTTTTGTAGACACACATATAATTAATTAATAATGCTTATTAATTTATACTGACTTTCAATTAAATGAATTTTCCTTTCACTTAATTCATGATTGATTAAAATTTAGATTTTACCCTAAGTTACTAAACTTAAATCAGTGTTACTCTGTAGCTAATCATTAGAATCATAGGTTATGAATTAAAAACAGGTTTATTATTATAATTTTTTTATTACGCCAAACAAATCAGCATAACTTAAAATAAATATCCTTATATTTTTATTGAAATGTTGATAAGTGAGAAAGTTTAATCTTTGCAATCTTCGAAGATGTTAAAATGTAATGATCTTTACAAAGCCAGCTAAAGTGGGAAATTTATTTTATGAATGTTTAGTTATCTAAGTTTAAAATAAAAGAACATCATAAAATTGAAATACAGTCAAACTTGGATAATTCGAAGGGCAAGGGACCTCTGCAAAATTTCGAATTATCCGCAAAATGTTATTTTTATGTCTTAAAATAATCACTCGTAACAGAAATTGCGAAACAAAGATTGTTTATTTATTTTAAATTAAAACGCTACAATTTTTAAAAATATTTAACTATATCAGATTGCTTTAAAGAGTTTACTTGATTTTTTTTAACAAAATCTTCAAGAATATTTATAGCTCTAAACACAGCTTCACTTACGTCAGATTGTCCTTCTGCATAGCGTCGATATTCTAATAAATTAACGACTGCCTCACTTGAAGTTGGAATTGGCCTCTGTTCTTCTACCTCATCTTCAACATCCTCTTTGTCTTCTGTTGTAATATTCTTATTGTTTAGAACTTCAGATAGAATATCTGTATCCGATAACTCTCTACAAATGTCTATGTTTTCATCCATACTGACGTAATCATCGAACAGAATGTTGTCTTCCCATGCAACTGGGGGAGGTAAATTTTCTTCATCAAAAAGATCGCTAGAGACAGTGTTCCAGATGAATCCTGCCTTCCGAAAACAATTTGCTATTGTTTTTTGGGTGACTTTGGACCATGCATTTTAACTCATTCTTGAAGTATCGAGGAAAGTAATGGGACGCTTTTGGGAAGATTCAGTAAGGAGGTGTTGAATGACTAAACAATGCTTCTGTATAAATGCTTCAGATTTTTAATTATGCCTTGATCCACCACTGATGTCATGTTTGGCGGGAAAAAACAACCGTGATATTTTCCATAGTGGGTATCGATTTATGAGCAGTGCAGTTATCAATTAACAGGATGATTTTTCTATTTTTTCTTTGGTATGTGCGATTGAGATCTAGTAGCCATTCTTCAAAAATATTCGCCGTCATCCATGCTTTTGTGTTAGAATGGTATTCTATAGGCTTTGATTTGACATTTTTAAAACACCTTGGATTTCTTGATTTTCCAATCATCAGTAATGGTAATTTCTTAGGTCTAGGTCCATTTCCTCTTTATTCCTGTTCTGTTTGAGCAGATAAGACTATTCTCCCTCCCCCTTGTCATCTCTAAAAAAATTTCCATAATAGCTGAAAATAACCAGAATACTTTTCAAAAATAACTGCTTTTAAACTAGATTTTGTCATTTTTGAAAGCGCAAAAACTTCGAATTAAAGAAGTAGGACTTCGAAATAATCAAGATTTTTAGCATTAACTGAACATACATGCGTCTAGGGAAAGAGAAAAGCTTCGAATTATACACGAATTCGAATTATCCAAGTTTGACTGTACATTGGAACCTTGGTTTCACATAGTCTGTTTTGTACGTTATTCCGCCTCCTACGTCATTTTCTGCTGGTCTGTGAAAATCGCTTATACCAATAATGTTAAATTATTCCAGATTTTACGTTCCTCTTTTTAAGAAAATCCTGTTTTATACAAATCAAAATCATATTTTCTCAGCAACACTTGCATTAATTTTTTCTGAGTTCTTTCTTTCATTTTTTATCTTCTTTAAAAGGAGAGAGATTTGTTTAATAACTATTTGGCTGTTTTGACATTATTTTTATTTCATCTTATTCCATCTTTCTATTCCATCTTATGTCTGAGATTTTCCTTTGGAGTCAAAAAAATGTGGGATGGGGTGAAGCACAGAAAGGGGAAATATGCGAGTTTAAATTATAAAAATTTTTAATGGAATTTTTTCTGCCAAACTTCAACTTTTGAATCTTGGAATAATCCAGTCGTTTAAAGAGAATTACACCAAACAACTGGTTAGGCAATAATTTCTTTTTCTTGATTCTAAATGCAAAATTAAATCATTAGAAAGCTCTGAATTTGATTTCTAAAGCATTGGACAATGTCAACTAAAATGCATTACAATTGGTTTAATAAAACAGGCTCCTCAGTGTTCAGCTGAAACATTGGCACTTTGGAAGATCTTTAGAAATCGATTATGCGTATATCGACTGCAACACACATCCCATTGCTTTTCAATTCCTTCAATATCTGATTTAATGCCTAATCTCATTGATTGTGATGAAAACGATGAAGATGAATGAAAAATATTGAAGGATACACCCACAGTTGATCAAGAATTCCAAAGCATGAAAATTCTGAAACAATATTTATTTGCTAATACCAAAAAGCTAATACCAACTATATTTATTTGCTTTTGTAAACCAAAAAAGCTAAATTTGCAGACAATAATAAGTATTGTTTGGGATATTTTTGAAATAATATCTAAAACTGAAAAATAGATAAATGTTCTACTGGTTCATCTTGTGTCAATTTCAAAAAAATATGCTTCTAATTTTTTATATATATTTTTTACGTTTTTCCGCTTGCACTTTTTCCGCTGGTTTGGCTGAAAACATGAAATTGGGATTCCACTGTATTTTCTCAAATGGTTTATTGAGGGACATCAAAAAAAATATTTGTTTAATGATTATAGATTAGTAAATCTATTTTAGCTGATTGTTTTTGCTCTTGTATATCACTGTGTTCACACTATAAATTAGCTAAACTTACCTTGCCCACATTTTTGATAAATGGCTTATCTGTGCTCAATCTGCAAAAAAATATTTTGAAATACTTTAATTGATTATAAATGTTTTATTTTATTGAGTAATTATACCATTTAAAATGTCTTTTTTTCTTTTAATTTTTTTAGAGCAATTTGAAAAATATTGTGAGGATATTGTTAATACTCCAGCTTGGGGAGGTCATGTAGAAGTAAGAAAAATTAACATTTTATTATTTCAGTAGGTTGATAATTATTAATTTTCAACTGATTTTATAATTTTCTCTAGCTGAAAACTACAAAATTATGAACTACATACAAAATAATAATAATAATAAATAAATAGAAAAGAAAATCGGGAAGTAAATTCTAAACCTTTTTTTGTATAATCTACTCATTTTCCACATCTTTTTTGTCTTAGCATGGCTTTTTCTGTGAAAGAATTGCCAATTGAAATAATTGAAAATTTTTTCCTCATTAAAGCCTTCCAGCCTTTCTTTATCATCCGATGATAAAAAATGTAACAATAAGTTTGTAATTTTTAACAATTATTTTGGTTGTTATATGCAATAACTGCACAAAATTTCCTAAACGTAGATTAAATATTTATGAAAATATGAACATTTTTATGAGCAAACTAATTTTTTTGTCTTACTTTTTTTATAACTTTAAAATATTTCAATAAAATGAAACAAAATCTTTGGAATATTTTAAAAATTAATTACAAAATTTTTTCTTTAAAGTTTGAAAAAAAAATTCTTGAAAGCTATACATTATATAAGTAATTAAAGTAGTTCTTTTATACTGTACATGCGCGGAAAAAAATTTACTTTTTATTCATAATTTTGTAGTAAATTTTATTTTGCAACTAATGACAGAAGTTCGATTTGAATATCTTAAAAATTTAAAAAGTTTCAAGCAATTTCTAAGAAGTTTTTTACTTTTTAAAGGAAACTCAAAATGATAAGGGGTTTTCTCCACATATTATTTTGTATCATAACTAATGATAGTATCTAATAATGATAGTAACGAAGTAACTAATGATAATAACTTACAATAAATTTTCTACACCGAAATAGAATTGTATAAGGAAAGAAAAGATACTTTTAAGTTGGATGGTCCCCAATAATACCGATGTCATTTTTAATAAGTCTTGCTTATTTTTAATAACCAAAATAATTGTTACAAGTTTTTAATTCATAGATATATTTTTTAGCATAGGGTGTTCAAAAACTCTATCCTAATTTATTTTTTATTATTGTCACCCGTTTGTAATTTATTGTTGGTTCCTCGAACCTCTAGAAGCTTTAAACTTCATTGAAAAAAATGAAAAATCGCATAACCTAAATATTTCTAATTTTATAAAATGATTCTCTTAGTATTTTTTAAGAAAGATAAAAAAATGTGTTAGTATAGCTGTCTTTTCATTGTTTTGTACAACCCCTTTGTCCTAATATAAAAAGCTTCTTAGTCTTATGTCTCAATTGCCGTTTCAAATTGCAACATTTTGATGAAAAAAATCATTCAATGGTATGATTCTTAAGAATTTTGCACTAGGATTTCAAAAGAATCCTTTGAGTAGAGTTTTAAACTTTAGTATAGAAGCTGTTTATTTATAACTTCTAATACAAGCCCATATCCTAACTTGTTCAGATAAACAAAAAAATATATTTGTTTATTTTTCTTCAAGCTTTAGTGTGTTATGCTGTTTTGTTGCAGATAAAAATTTTATCAAACATCTGCTGCAAACCAATAGAAGTAATTCAAGCTGATGGTCCTAGTGTCATTGTTGGCGAAGAAAATTCAGATCCTAGACTCATTATCAGGTTAAAAAAATTTCAAAAAAACTTTATTAATTTACTTTTTGCACTCAATCAACTCTTGCTTCTAAAGTGATTTCTCATATATTAATTTTAAAACTATTATAATAACAATGTATCTCTGTATAGTATATCTCAAACGCTTAAAAAATTGGTACATAACTAGGTGTTCCATATAGATGTGTGTAATATCTTTTGTTTAGGGATGCATTGGTTAGTAGTAAGGGAAAAACTAAAAATAGTTTAAAAACTAAGGCTGCATCTCAAAACAGTTTTAGACTATGAAAATAATATCTAGGTATATATTTGGATTCTACAATAATGTATTGTTATACAAAATTTTAAATATGTTACCTTCAATATATTATGTTTCATGCAAGCAAAAAAAAAAAATTTTTTTTAGTCAATTTAAAAAATAAAAAAAAACTATCATTTACTTTAGACATGAACTGCATTTTCTAAAATCATTTAGTATTTGAAATAAAGGCAAAAGGTAAAGGAATTCAATGCTACACATGTTTTAATGGAATTACTTTGTTTAATTCTTCAGCATCATAATCAATATTATCATTATAATCAATATTTATTATAAGCATAAGGCAGGTGAGTGTTCGAAAATTTCTACCCTTTAATGTTAATTTTACTTTCTTCATATTTCACCATATCTCCGAAACAAATAAATCTAATCAAAATATTTTTGCACACAATTTTAAAACTTGTTTATCCAAAGATAATTCCACGTAAAAAATAATTTTTTAGATTGAATTTTAAAAAAATCATTTACATTTTCATCTTCATGGATTTTAAGATTGAGTTCTATTACATGAAAATTAGATCATTAGATCAAAAATTATTATGGTGTTCCCTTTTTTGTGCAGTGAACATAGTGTATCTAATTAAAATTTTCCACTACTTAATTTATTCTTACTTCATTCACTTTTGCTCATTGTTTCATAATAATTATTTCTGAAATAATAATATTTATTATAAAGCATTATAAAACTCATTAATTGATCTTTAAATTTTGTAGCTATCACAGGCACGTGTATGGATTAGGAGAGCATTACAATTCAGTCATACCAGCTGATAAATCATCAGATAATGCAACAGACATGCCATGACTTTTTCCTCCTGTGAGCTTACACACATTCTCTGTTTTATTTATATTCAATAAAATGTTTATATGTTCTCATGGTTTCTTTCTTTATTAATTACAATTCTTTTTGGAAGTTTATACAACGTAACAAAATCACATTAATGCATTCAAGACAACAATAATAATACTGATTCTTCTGGATCACTTTTCTTGAACAATTTGTATAACTTTATTTATTAAGTTCCTTTATTGCTATCTTTGCAAAATATTTGTTATCTGTTTTTCTCAAAAGTGAATCTTTCTTATTATTTGCATTTGGAGGCATCTAGCAATTAAACTCAAGAATTAAAGAAATCACAAGCAAGAAAAAAATAAGTTGAATACTTAGATTCAACAAACAGAGCTACAGCATTTTTTACAGCCACAGAATGTTATTTTAATTTTAAATGTTGAACTTTATAAGAAAAGGAATGGTGAGGCTTATGCTCTATCTATATTGATTGGTGCCCTATTTTTTTTAAACATTCATTTATTTCATAATTGAATGGTTTTTTAAAAAAATAATTTTGTATATAAGTTTTATTTCCAAGTAGGGTTAAAAAATATATTGAAATTATATCCTTCAATTAAAAAAAGAAGAAAAAATTGCATTAATTTAAATCAGAGACTCAATTTTAAAAAAGAGCCACCTAATTCAAAATTATGAACAAATAATAGGTCTTTTCTCTCTTTGGGATAGGGATAGCACATTAAATTTTTTTGGAAAATTTAGGTTATTAAATAATTAAACAGGCAGAATATTTTATCTTTCCTAGGTTTTTCTTTTATGTAACGCAAATATTAATAAGATTTTCTTTCAAGATATTACTGCAAAACTTGAAAACTCTTGATTCATATTTATTTTTTTAATGTACTAAGTTTTTAATGTAAATTGTAATTTTATGTAAATTGTTAATCATGTTGCACCTATGTTAGATTTTATGAAACTATTTCATTTAAGATCTCATTAAAAAATTTTATTATATTTTTTAATGTGCCGTCAAAGGTTTTTTCCCCCCCTATCATTATTTAGAACACCCTTAGTGAATTTTTTAAATTTAAGTTATCACTTGAAAGTTACACATCAGCTGAAAGTTATTAATAATTAAAATAATTTTCTATATATTTTTAAACTTTTTTTTCTAAACTTTATAGATTTACCAAAATTTTAGATATTATTAAAATTAACTTGTGTAAAGACTTAAATAAAATATTAATAAGCTACATCATCAATATAAATATTTTTGTCTTTTTCTTGAAAATACTGAAAGTTTCATATCACATTCTAAAATTACAAACAAAAGATTATAGCTTTTTAGTGTAAAAAGGAGTTGTGCTTTTAAATAAATGACTTGCAATACACCATCTTAGAAACATTTTGGAAACATGCATTTATGTGGTTTAAAATTTTTAGTGGCGTAGTTTCAAAATTACTTAGTTAAAAAAAGTTTTTTATTTATTGAAAACTGTTGGGTCGCAGATTTTTAAATACCGTAATAATGAAGGAATGTTATGTAGTATAAAGACGAATTTTGTTAATGAAAATAAAAATACTATATATTGCGCATGTAAGGTAAATAATTTTTAGTGGTTCTAATCAATAATTTAAATAGAAAAGCATTAGAATTTTTAAGAAACCAGTATACATATTTTTAGAACTACTTTTTTAAAGATACATCATTCATTCATAGCAATTTAATTAATAATAGTTTTATGGATAGAATTATGTGTAGAGAAAAAATTCTAACATTTTAAAAATTTGCCTCTCTCAAAAGCTGTCAATCTCAATTTTTCCTCCTACTCATACAATAAATGTTAACATTAATGTTACTAATTATTAATTTCTTTTTTTAACATGGATAGTTTTTCTGACTATAAATCTAGTAGTGAAATTAATAATTTTGTATTTGTCCGAACTCTAAAAAATAAAAAAGTAATACAAAATTATCTACTCAGACCTCTCTTTTAAAAATCAATGAGCTCTTCCCAATGTCAACTAACAACTACTTGGTCACATAGTGCATTATATGCTGCTGAGAATTTTGATTCGTATTTTTGTATTTATTACAATAATTTGATTTTATTTTTAACTACTTATCTTTTTTTTTGCAACATTTGAGATATTTATTTTTACAATTAGAGAAAAAATTATGAAATTTAGAGGGGAAAAACAAGATTCTCAAGATTTGCTTTTTAAATCACAAGAGGTATGCAAAATAAAATGCTGTTAAAAAAGGGAAACAAATTTTTAACATTTAATAGTCTCATTTTATGACTTATTTAATAAAATTTTGTAGGCTTATTGATTGTTAAGACTTATTTCTTAATATAAGTCACTGTTCAGTTACTGAAAGAATGAAATCCATAAATGGAAATTAGATAAGAGCAACACAAAAAAAATTTTGTGCTTAGATCCGTTCTTATTTTACATTCTACAAAAGAATTCAAAGCACATTGCATACCTACACCTCGTTTGACAAAAAGCAAAATCTTTGCTTATCTGCAATTAATGTTTTTTAAAAATGAAAGAAAATTTGAAAAAGAATTATTTCAATCAAAGCGAAACCCCAACGCATATACCTTATAAAAACATATTTATGTTAGTCCAAATGTCTCTATTTGATATAAAACTTAAAGGCTACAAGTGTTCAAACTAAACACAATGTACAAGAATATCGACATTTAAGTCGATTTCATTAAGATTTTTCAGTTTTAAAATATTGAGAGCGAATTACAGTAATATTTAAATCTGAAAGAGTTCATTAAGTTTATTCAGTTGGGTGCAATCTTAAGTTTATTCGCTTCTACTGTTACACCTGGTCTGCTACCAAAGATAAAAATAAACATTGTTGGCGTTCTTCATATGCTACTTTCTCACATGTTAGTGCCTTATAAACGGCTTTTAACTCTTCCTATAATAAATTCAGCAGTTTCATTTCATAAAAGAGTTATGGCTGCCAAAGTTGATGTTGAATATTGGTATGATATTTTTGTTTCATTGATTTACATTAAATATTCTAAAAACCATTCTTCGCAATTAGGATTAAAATATCACTAACTAATACGGTGAAACCTCTAAATCAATCAAATATCAAAACAAAAATGTTAACAAAACAAATAAGTAGATTCAAATATATTCAAAATATTTGTCTGTAATTCTTATTTAGAGAGTTTTTTGACGATCTCTTAAAAAGATCGACAACCTTATTATGCTTATGTTGCATTCCGAGTGCATTGAAGAAGATGTTATCAATGATTTATTTTTAAAGGTGAGAGTTAAATCTAATCAGAATAAAAGTTATTTTAAAATAAACTTAGCATCTCTCAAGCAAGCAAACATCTTCTCATTTTTTAAAGCGGACTAATATTTATGCTATAAAATAAAATCCAAACTTAAACAAGAAACATAATTATTTATTTATTTAAAAGAGTTCTATCATTCATAATTGGTAAATTTGTTTTTCGATATAATTAGGGATCATTTTTATTGAAGCTAAGTTTTATTCATCATTCGGTTTTCATGAAGCCAACACAAGTGGCACTGAGTAAAATTAAAACTACTTTTGAAAAATCGTGTAACTTCAATAACATTTTGAAGTCAATAGAGGTAACCTTTAAGAATAACCAGCCTTCATTCCGTTTTACTGTGCAAAAGAGAGTGGTTGCTCCTGAGAGGTTTCTCAGTGTTTCTAGGTCATGCCTTAGAGGGATTAGAAAAATTACCCTTTTGGTACAGAAAGTATTGGTTACATAAATAAATTATTATTTCACGTGGAATGAAATTTCAAACTCAATATTTCAACTGTAAACGTCAGAAATTCAATTTTTTCTCTTTCAAATATATTTAAAAATTATTTGGTCAAAATGTTTTTCAAAAATGGATATACAGTTTTCAGGTGCCAAAGAATGTGAATTCAATCAAGTAGTATATTTTCTTAATTTTGTATCATTCTATGAAACTAATATGAAATTTGTCGCATACAAGAAGATACTACTCTATTGACCCAATCTTTTATTCTGTCTCCGTATTTACTTTATTATCCTGTCGACCACTTTCGACAGCAGTTTATTTTCGCATAATTTTCTGGTTTGCTCTTTTGAAGAAACCTTACCCCTGAGATTGTCTTTTAGCTTGCCTTTAATTATTTTTCAGAAGTCTAAAATTTTTCTCTTTTGATACTGAATGAGAATAACCTTTATGAAGTATACACATGAAATAGTATAAGAGGGTAATTTATATTTGAGGATAAATTTCAGTTATTACATAATATTACATATTTTGATAAATTTTAATCGTAAGTGAATATGTTTTTAAAACTCAAAGTGCCCTTTTCGGTGAAAAAGCACCCTGCCCATTTTTATTCTTAAGAAGAACTCTGCTATACTTTTTGAATTCAATGATAAAACAATTGATATTAATGGAATCGTGGTGGTCAACTAAAAAAAGTATGTGATAGGATCTGATCTCATGTGATAGGCAGAACTTTTCAATTCATTCTCATTTTGACGTGTCCAATGTGTTTTCATCGTAAATATACATTGTTTAATCATAAGACTTTTTTCAGTTTTTACCTTAGATGTCACTATTTTTAAAATCCTTTTCTTTTATGCCATGAGCTAGGTGCAAAGGGCGAAAAAGGAGAGATTTGTAATATTTTTTTCAATGTATATACATATTTTTTTACGTGTTGATGAGAAACAATTTATTAGTTAAAAGTTTTTTTTCTTCTGTTTTTCTTTAAATTTTATAAATTTAATTTTGTGTATAAAAATGACAGTCTTTCATTAATTTTCAATGTACCAAAAAANAAAAAAAAAAAAAAAACATTGAGACACATGGAGAAAAAAAATTCACTAGAAAAGTTCATTCCTGCACATTGAGAAAAAAATTTCAGATAATTTCTTCTTCCAGCAATCATGTCTGCTTTAGTTTTTAAAAATTTAACGTAATTTCACTATTTTTTAAGCATTTATATATAATTTTTTTAAAAATATACCATGTAGAAACTTATTTTTTTATTAAGATTTAAGGTGATTAATTGTATGATCGTCATTGAATCAAAATATATGTGGGTAATGATTAAAAAAATTAATCTTTTCACTATGATTGAAATTGTTAATTAAGTAAGTTAAAATTTTCAATCTATTCGAATTTAGTTTGGTTCTGATATTTGATAGTATTGTTTTCTCTAAACCATAACTTTATCAATTTCTTTCAGTGGAATGTGAGGCTATGAACCTCGCTTTGAGGAACTGAAGGAAATAATCCTTTCAGAAGTTCCTGAAGCAGAGGTTAATGGCAAAGTTGGAAGGCAATGTAAGTATCTTTTCTGCATTGAAGAAAGGGGAACAACATATACTACCATTTGTAAAAATAATTATTTTTTGTAATATTACAATTTAAAGGCATCAATTCTGTATTTTCTCTCTAAATTAAATTTTAGAAGTAAAGATAAGCTATGAAAATTTAGCTAGACAATTGTGCAGTTTAGAATTAATTATTTTCATGATCAATATTATAATAGTATATAATAAACAAATTATCTTTCGTAATCAGATCCCTATAATTGCAAGCAACAAAATATCAAATGTTTTATGTATGTTTATATATATTATAATAAGAATTTAAAAAAAATTTTTTGCTAAGTATTTTTTTTTAAAATACCAAAATTTATAAAATTTTGTTGCTTGCAGCTCATATTTAAGAAAAGGCGCTTATGTGTTGTTTTTTTTTATTCAATTGTAAAGTTATGCGTAATGTTATTAACATTAGGTACATACCTAGAAATAAGTAGTGAAAATACCTTAAAACTGTTCTAATTCGAGTTTTGTAAACAATATATGTATTATTGTACATATTTCTGATTGCTGATAGCTAGTTTGGGATGTTGTTACATCTATATTAGAGTTGGACAAAACGAATAATCAAAATGATTTGAGTCAATAGAATCAGTTAACTTTGGTAATTTGAATCAATGAGTGCTTGGATGATAAAAATGATATGAATGTGATTTATCTATAAATGTTTTTAAAATACTTTATCACATTTTAATGGTTGTAAATATAAATTATATCATTTTATTGTCTTTTTTTAAAAAGCGTAATTATAATTATTCCTTGTATTCTTCTTTCTGTTTAAGGGTTGATTCAAAATTTTATTTTTAATTTTGACATGAGCAAACGCAAAAAGAAGAAGAAAAAGAGAGCAGCTTAATTACAAAGATCCTTAGTTCAATCAGCAACCATCGGAATTACTTTTTTAGCTCTTTTCAAATGGCTTCTCAATCCAGCTTGCTTATTGAATGCTAAAATTTTTTAGCTCAACTTTGTATGAATAGGGTTAAATTTTTTTAAACAAAATTCTAATAATATGAAGCCTATACATCCTGTGAAACTTTTGATTCATATACATTTCAGTTTGCCGTAAGCGAAACCTATTGCCTTAGTGTCTATATAAACATCTTATTTTCCCATGACCTCAAATAGTTCAGCATCCCTAGCATCAATAATAGCTTAGCAAGCTGTGTTATCTTAGATGTTAGACAGCTTGTCTCCCAATGAAATGACCCATGGAGGTTTTCTTCTCCTTAAAACACAAACCTCCATGACAACACTGCCGTAATTATGCTGTTGGTCGCAAAATTGGGAGCCACAATCTCCATAATTGATTGAATGAAGTGATTCAAAAGAGTGATATGGATCCATAATTCGAATCAATCAATTCCAATCACTGATTCGAATCGAGTGATTCCAATCAATGTTCAAATTAAGTTATTCCAATTTTTCATATCAAGTGATTCAAATCAAGATTTGATTCAAATCACTATTTGGATCCCAGATTGAAATCAAGTGATTCAGATAACTGATTCAAATCATGCCATTCCAATCAGTGATTCAAATCACTATTTGAATTCAATGATTCATGACGCTGATTTGAAGTAAGCATTTCAGATCAAAGGTTTGATCCAAGTGATTCAAATCATTATTTGAATCAAGTGATTCAGCTCTTTGATTGGAATCAAGTGATTTAGATCACTGGAGGAAACTTTGTGACTCAAATCAGTGATTCCACTCAAGAGATTCAAAGTATTATTCCAATCAAACGATTCAGCTCATTGATTGTAATAAAATTATTCAGATCACTGAATCATACTATTCCATTCGGATAAGTGATTCAAATCAAGTGATTCAGATCACTTACTCATATCAATTGATTCAGATCAATAATTATAATAAAGCGTTTTGGATCAGATATTTGAATGAAATGATTTGGATCAGTGATCCGAATCAAGTGATTCAGATCTCAATTCATGTTATTCAGATTACTGATTTGAATAACATCATGACTTAAAAAATCAATTGAGAATTAGGTGAATGATTCAAAGTACTATTCAGCCTAGAATGAATATTCGAATAGAGTTGGGTACTGAATATTCAGTACTCAACTCTAATCTGTATATGCTGATACATATGTTTAAATCATGTAATACTTTTATTTCTTTTCAGCTTCTTTTGAACTCACCATAAATTCAATCTTGGTGTTTTCCAAATTAAAGAAGAATAAATTTCCAGATTTTAACAAAGTATGAATATTTTCTCTTTTTTTGAAATTCTCCTTACTTACTTATGATTATAATTAGAACATTTTCAAGTAGAGAAAAGATAAACTTGGTGCTATATATATATCAATAAAGTTAAACAATAAGAAAAGAAGAAAAATAGATACAAATCAGAATGCTGTTTATGTGACAGTACTTATGTATGTTAGTATTCTTTTTACCTTGTTTAGCTTTATCTTATTTATTTAGTTTTATTGTTTTGTAATCTAATTATGAATAGTTTTAATATGTATTAAATTCAGTAACATGTACAGTCAAACTTTGATCCATCGTATCCACATCATTTGTTCACCCGTGCGCATCACCTTCTTTTACTGGTCCTGTCACAGATTATATTCCTTAAAATGTTATCAATGCCCGTCTAAATCATATTAAAAACAAGCATATTCTCGTTTCTCGAAAGTTTTGCGAACATTTAAAAAAAAATCAAGTTATTTGGTTTTTTGAAGAAAAACTGCAACTTTTGATGTTGATAATGCCGAAAATGAGAATGTGTTACAGTTTGGGGGAAGAGTCTGAAACATCACGTTTACTATTAATGCACCAGTTGATGAAAATGTTGAAACTTTAGGTATGATGTCAGATGAAAAAATAATAGTTGAAACTGAAGAAGTGCAAAAAAATGCCCATGGATGTGGTAAAATGGAACCACAATCAATACACATTTTCAGAAAGATTAAATTAAATTTTGAATCAATGGGAAACTTTTTATCTTTGAAATTATTTACAAGGATTAGCAAGTTGCAAATGTCGAAAATTTATTTGCGTTGTGAAGAAAAAGTGATCCAACTATTTTATCTATTTTAAATAAATAAATCTTTTGCATCGTAAATATGTTTCCAGTGTTTTTTAATGAAAAAACTTCATATTTTTATTCTAAATAAAATAGATTTTCTAAATGAAATAGAAATTATTAAAATAGATAATAAATAAAATAGAAATTATTCTAAATAAAATAGAAATAGATTTTCAAATGTTTAACTTTTTTATTACTTTTTGTACTTTTTCAAATCAATATTTCATATTGACTGGTTTTATATATTGTTTTCCTAAATCTATCATTTGCTGTGAATAGCCCCTTGAAAAACGATTAATCGAAGTTCCACTGTACTGTATAGTTAAGATACTTTTCAGTTTCTATCAGTATTAATACTGATAGAAACTGAAAAGTAATACTGAAAGATATTAATACTGTGTTAGAGTAAGCACAGCATTAATACCAATGCTGTGTTTACTCTAAAAAAAAGTATGAGAAAAAANAAAAAAAAAAAAAAAAAAAAAAAAAAAAAATTAGAAAGAAAAAAATTCTTTGTATATTAAGAAAAAATACTTAAACATTACAGCTGCAATTATTATATTGCAAACAGGTCTTCACTTATTTTTTAAATAACAGGATTTGCTCTTCATTTTTAATTGGAATTCTATACTATTTAATTAATGTTAGTTTTGTTGTTTCTAATGCCACTTGCCACACTAGCGAGCCTGCTTGATTAAACCGAGCAAATTTAAGGCAGAGTGTGCATTTCTCGTTTTTCAGTGGCGCAATCTATGGCCAAGAATTTGTCTTCAGCAACACACACGTCACACCCGTTTATAGAGTGGACCCATTCATACATCCATTCATTCACCCACAGATCGTAATTTTTGACCTGGATCAGAGAATGATGATCTCCAATCCAGTACCCCCTAAGGTATTGATTTTTTATGGGAACATGGAGAACATTGCGATTTGACAGATTTAACGTGCATCAGTCACCATTTACTACACGCGGGGTTTGAACCCACTAATACTCGGACATGGGCCCAGGCTATCCCTGCCTAATGTTCGTTTTAATTAATGTTATTTGTTGTTATTGGAAGCTGAATATGTCTATATGTATATATTTTTCTTTAGGTTGTGGAATTAGTTCAGGAGGTCCAAAATGGAAAAGAGGTGCGCTCTCTCATGTAAATGACTGAAGGCTACAATCAAGTTACATCTTCTAATTGCAGTGACTTTTTGAGTTGGTTTAAAGAGATGTTCATGATAGCTCTTCTACAAGGCCATTCCAGGAAGAAGCTTGATGTTTTTGGTCTGTTTCTTCCCTCACAAATTGTCATTGCTTTTACTCAGATGTTATCTTGATATGTTACGCTTTTCAAGTTCGGCTGACATAGTCTGAAAAATATTCTCTTATAATGCTAGTGATCTCCAATATTTAAATTAGGCAACTGATTTGACCTCTAATTAACATTTTACAAATTTAGCTTAATGTTGACTCCTATTTATTATTGATTCCTATCTATTAGTAGTACTGTAGTATTTCCTTAATTTTTAGGTTTTGAAACCAAATGTATTTTAGCATTTCATCTTTATGATTTACAAGTTTTGAGTTTAAAATAACAAAATATTCAGTGTTACGTTTACCAAATTTTAGTGTGTTATTTTTAACCTTTTACTATTATATTTATGGAGAAAAAAAATCAGAATTTCTTATATCACTTTTTGTTAATGTTATATAGTTACAATTTCTAATCTTGTAATGTGAACATTCAAATCAAGCTGTTAATTTTTATTTATTACCATTTGCAAGTGTTATGCAATAATGTTTTCCTTTCTTTTACTTTTGCTCTGATAAAACTCTTAAATTAATAAAACTCATTAGAAATAATTGAAAAACTTAATATATATGTTCAGAAATTTTCGCAATTTTTTTTTCAAAGAGTTAGTACATTTTAGGTACTAGAAAATAAAAAAAATTCAGCTAATAGATTTTCAGTAGAATGACCAATGTTTAACTCTTTGCCCACAAGGTACAGAGCACTGTTTTATAATATCATTAAAGTTTTGATTGTACAGAAATTTTTATTTGCATAATATTCCTAAACTTAAACTTAATTTTTGATGAATTAATATTTTTAATTACTTACAGATTTTTAATTTTAATAATTAGGGAAATAAGCAGAAAATTCAAAACGTCTAGTTGTATCATATATCTTATATATTTATTTGTTATTTTAATTTGTTAGTTGTAAGATAAACAAATGAAGTTAAAGACAAACCTTAACTTTTTAATTTTTTAAGACAAAAAATCAGTATTTGAATCAAATGAACCTCAAGTTCTGAAATTCTGCAGTGCAGTATTAGCCATCATTAAATATTTTTTGATTAAAATGAGGTAATTGCATAACANTGGATATAGTGAACCATCGGTTATAGTGGACACATTACTGAGTCCGCAGACGGTTCACTATAGCGGGGTTCGACTGTATATATTTTAGTTTTTATTACAGAGTTTTAAATTTCATTGATTGGTAAAGAAAAATTTATACTTAACTCTAATAAATTTTATATTGTTTTCATGACTCATTATTTTATTTTTATGGATCATGGATTTAAAAACATTGTTGCACAACACTAGTTGCAGTGTTAAATTGTACTTAAAAATATTGTTTTCATGTTAGAAGTGGTCTGTCGGATTTATTTAAATTAATACTACTTGCCTTTCAATAATAGATACCTAGCTATTTTTGCACCTTTGATACAATTTAATTTTCAAAGGTTTAAAAACTAAATATACAAATATATTGTTTGGTATACAGTGTTTGTAATGTGTTCACATTATAATTCTTAATATTTTTTGTTTATTTAATGAATTATATTTCAAATTAGAACTGATTCATCCTGAAATGTCATAAATGGTCATATTAACTATATAGTACAAATTTATCTGCAATAAATCTATATTTTTCTTAAAATTTATTGTGATTATTTCATTTTTCTTGAACAACATACTGATTTTTATATTTTTTACTAGAAATGTCTCCACTATAGCACAAAAATAAAAAAGTTATTTTTGTTTATGTGTTTAAAATTTCAAGAGCATTTCAATTAAATTAATCTTTATGAAATGAAAGATTACCTGGATTTTAAAACTAGCATAAAGGGGCAAAAAAAATTTTTATTGTGTGTTTTTTGTTGCGTGAGATTTTTGAACGGAACTAACGAATATTTTTGCACCGTTGATTTCAAATCTGCAATTTAAAGGGCCTTAAAATGTAACATATCTTAATATGTGGAAGGGGGAAAAAATGTGTTTATTGTATGGACCTTTTCAAATCTTTATTAAAATTGAAAATAAAAAGGTTTACTTAAATAACTATTAGTGCTTTTTCTTCATTACTTATAGAATCCCTATAATCATATTACTTGTTTAAAAAATGACCCTTTCGAGCAGTTGGGATTCACCAAATCCCTCACATCAAACTTAATATTGAATTTCAAACCAACTCATGGTATATGCAACAAATATAAGTGGGAAAAAGCGATTTTTCAACATAATCTTATATTCTTCTATTGGCTTGACAGCCCTTTGTCAGAGCCTTCCCTAGGACCTTCCGCCATTCTGTTCTTTTTTTTGCGATTGTTCTTCAGTTAGTAATTCTTAGGATTTTGAAATTCTCTTCTACACAGGCAAGCTATCAGATTTTAGGCCTACCTTTAACTCTATTTCTCATTGGTTTATAATTGAAGATTTTGAATGTCAACGAAGAAGGGTCGATTCGACAGACGTGACTCGCAAGTTTTAAGCTACTTATTTTGATGTATTTGTTGATATAAGCTTTCTTGAATAGCTTATATAGTTCAAAATTATGTCGTTGTCTCCATAAGCCTTCCACATTTATAGCGCCAAAATTTTTTCACTAGGCTTTTCTCTCAGAAACAGCAAGTAGATTTATATTCTTCATTAACAACAATAATAAAAAATACTTAAAAGCCTGTAAATCTTAATACAAAAAAATATAGGGCAAAACTAAAAACATTTGCTGCTGGTTAGTTGTAGCATTTTTTACTGTGGCCGTGGTCACTTTTTCAAAAACTGAAAATTGCTAATTTTTTAAAAAAAGCTACTGATATTATAAATGTAAGACGTTTTTTTTAAGCGTTTATCAAAATATGGTAAAAATTAACATGTTCATATATATGCTGGGAAAAAAAACGGAAAGAAACACAAAATTAGGTAGTTTTAAGAATATAAAATATTCATAATAATTTTTAAAAAATTTTCATTGAGTGGATTTTCTACAAAAAAAAAAGTGGCGAATGGCAGAGAAGTTTTTAAACGCTATTTGTTATGTTCTTTCCCTTTCTACTGACCCATTGCTCTTGACTGCTGAGAACTGAATTAAAGGTGTTTTAGCTCTCATACTAATGCTCAATCCCCTTTGACTTGACCTACTAATGGATTCAATCCTGAGGACTAAAATCAGTCTTGAGAAAAGATCGAGTGAGCAGTCGAAGTAATGCAGACAATTCTAACACGTTTGGCTCAATTCCCAGACGGCAGACTCCTTTGATACAGGACTACAGAAAATTATTCCCGAAATGACAAGTGTTAAAATTGGGTACTTGCACTTCAAGAAGAAGAAGATCACGGATAGCCACACATGTGACCTATGACGTCAGTGCCAGCTGATCATTTATAAGCAAAATGACGTGTTAAAGTTGAGCAAAGTTTCTCCACATAAATTAGAATGTTAATTAACGTGAAGTTAATGAAATACAGCGCGGTATCGTACATCGAATTTGTTGTCAATATAATTCTTTCTTGTCTACGTTTTTTACTTAGCTTAGATTTATTATTTGTTTATGTATTTATTATAACTGTGATATATTTTTGTTTTGTCTACCTGACAACTTCGAAGCATAGTTAGTTTGTTTATATTCTACATGGCTTCGTGCCTGTCTTTGTGTTAAGTATTATGTAAAGAAAGAACTGAAATCTTTGTGAAAGATTATAGAATGTTTCACTTAAGAGAATTGATATTTGACGGGCTTGGCTTACTCGAAATAGAATGGAAAGAGCAGTTGCTAACGTAAGCAAATACCAAGTTTCAACAACCTATCAGGATCGAGATACCCACACTACGCCACTGCTGATATCCCATTGGCAGGGCTGATTGTGCTCTGGAAAAAATACGGATTTATGGAATTTTCGCTAACAGTGATCCGGAAGTTTCCGGAGATCGAAGGTCCAGACGTTTCAAAAAATCATTGATCACAGAAGTTTCCGGAAATCAAATTTTCAAAGGTGGAACTTAAAAACACAGTTTATTTTATTTGTTTGTAAGGGGGAGCCAGAGAGATACTTTATAAGCTCATATTCATGATTAATTTTCATTTTTTATCAGTAAATAGTTGTTATAATCATAAACTCAAGAAAGAAAGACATATTTGTAAATTTTAATTACTTCTCCAGGTATGTGTAAATGGCATAGGTATGTGTAAAATTTTAAATATTTTTAAGTGAACTAGGAAATATTGAGAAAAAGGAAAAAAAACCTTGTTTAAATTTTTTTCAATTAAACTGCTCTTTTTTTTTTTTTTTAACTCAATGAATGAATTTTCCGGAATTTTGACTTGGGCTCACAATCACCCCTGCATTGGGTACTTGTAATGAAAGAAGTAAAATGATTATGCCTAACCATGTGATTTAATTGGATACCTGAAAGCGACGCCACGCGTGTGCGTGTCTAGCCTGATTGGTTTCTGAATCGACGAATGCCACGATTTACCTACGATGACTTCACTTGCAGGTATCCAATTCCGGTGGTCCTCATGTTTAGAGATAGTTGAAATATAATTTAACAATAAATCTTTCTGGATAATTATGTTTTGTTTCTTTTTAAGGACAATGGGAAACTTATTTTTCGTATGACACTATTAGCTTTGCTAATTTTTAGCATCTCATTTTTTTAAAAAGTTAAATGTGTTCGTTCTACTTTCTATCTATTAATAAGAGAGTTTCTTTTGCATCTGAAGGATACAGCATAATGTGTTGCTTAAATAAATTACATGATAAAGCTCAGACATTTTTCGTTAAAAAAAATATTTCAGATTGTTGCTCTAGTAAAAGGGCTTATTCAACAATGGTTGACAAAAGTAAAACCGGGATTAAAATGCAAAACCGCACGAGCAATTTACTTAGTAATAATACGAAAAAAATAATGAACTGTAAAATAATGAGAGAAAAATATTTATAAAACTTCTACACTTTTCAAAAACTGAAATAAATTTGGTCTTAGATGGCTAAGGTAAAGCAGAAACTAATTTTATTTAATCTGAATTACCAGCATTTCCATCAAAAAATCTTATATTCCGATTTATTTACACGGTTCTTAAAATTTGTATATCCAGGTATCAAGCATGTTGTGTATCAGTATCAGGTAAAATTTGTATATCCAGGCTTAAAATTTGTTTATCCCCAAATGGTATTCCGTGGAACCCTAGGTTCCCATGGAAGAGGTAAAGAGGTTCCGCGAGTTAGTACTCTTTATAACCAGTGATGAGTTTTAAAAATGTATTTAGATCTAAGCTATAATTCATAATTTACTTCATCATTCGGTTGCTTTTGTGAAATTATTTAAAGTAAAATGCCAATTAAATAGAAATGACATTTTTTGAGAATAATATTTCTAATAATAATATATTAAACAAATTATGAAAAGAGCAAGTATTTATTAAATATTGCATGAGTATTTCCTATCACTCTTTTCAAATTAAAATAAAATAAATAAAATTTTTAATAAAGAAAGATGTTTCCATAAAAACCATTTTCGATGTTTATAGCAATTTCTCTAAGTTTTAATTTCGTAGTAAATTATAATTCGGATAATTTTATTTATTTTCAAATTTAACATCGGACAAGATACCTAATTTAAGATTATTAAGGATGAAACAATGAAAATTTTTCATCTCTATAATTTTGTATTTTAAAAACAGTCATCTATAGTTTATAACGTTCACAATTACCTTAACGAATTTTATTTATAAAGTTCGAGCTCTGCCGGAAGAAAGTTGGCTAATAAGTGCCATTGCCCTGTATAGATGAAGGGTTGCTTTTGTGCTCTCAAATTTGCTAACCTCAATTTGGCGTTTTTTTTTCGTAATCATAAATAATCAAAATTCCTAATCATAAATAATCCCCCGTTTCAGATTTTTACCAGAGCGAGTTGGTAACTCCTAAGCCTTACCGTAAAGACTGGGTAAAAGTCGGAAATGGAATCATATTAAATCATGAACTTCGGACTCTTACTGTGGTGAATTATCCAGACTTCAGGCTTTTACAGTAACCATATATATAACATTTTTTTGGAGTACAAAATGTTCGAATCCGCTACTTTTGGAGTTCCCTTTTGCTACTTTTAAGTCTTAAATTCTGGCAACACTGCTTCTGAGGATAGTCCTTCCCAGCATGTTTCCTTGTGGATTGAAGTTAAGGGAAGGGACAGGCCATTCATGATAAGCACCATGTTACCTCCAAAATCCACCACAGTGAAGATTTTTCAACGTAAATCGAATTTTTGGTAATCGACAGCCTCCAGACGGTATGGAGTGAGAGACCTGTTAAGTTGACCGCTATAGCTGTTGCCTTCACATCCAATTAATGATCCTCTACCACTACCTGCTCCTAATGGAGTAGAAATATTTTTTCCTCTCATACCTTACCAAATGCCCACAAAACTGTCTGGATCTTTCAAATTCTTTTTTCTTCTTTTTTTACTGCTCTCATATTCTTGAAGATAGCTTTCAACTTCAGAAACTGCTTAGTTCTTATATATCTCAAAATTGTTTGTATAATTTATAAAATGAAATAGTAGATAAGAGAAAAAAAGAGGAAATATTTTCCAATGGACAGCAAGTTGGAAACTCTAAGGGTGTAAGAAGGCGTCAGGTATGGCGTTAAAACAACGTAGGTTTTTCCTGAGACCGCATGAAGACTACTCATTATCGAAAAATGCTAGAAACCCATTGAGAATTCGTGGTGCGAACCAAATTTTCCAGCTGGACAATACCTCAATTCGTTGAAAAATCTTCACTGTTGTGTTTTTAGCATAACATGATGTTTTTCATGAATATCCTGCTTTTTTTCCTAACTTTAATTCTCAGTAGGGCTGTACATACCAAAAAGGGGCAGTTTCAGTCTGTGGCAGAATCGAAGACTTATATCATTCAAACCGAAACTTGGCATAATATTTATGCTACTGTCCTCCTGGTATTGGTAAATGGTAAGCAACGTCGCATATTCCAAGTCTTATATACACGTGGCTGGTATTATTGCTATAATCTTAATCAGAAATGGGTTTATTCTGATAGGGCATTTCCCCCCTCCTTTTTTTTCTATTCGTTTTTTTTTCATTCTGTATTGGTGGGACTGGGACTGAGTTACTCCTCGTAAATATATGTTTGAACATCGACTTACTTAACATACATGTTTGGCTCATATTGGTTTTCTTTGAGCCCAATCATAGCTCAAAATCAAGGTGGTTTACCTAAGTGGGACACACTTGATGAAATTAATGTGCTGGTGGAAATAGCGACGATATTTTTGCAGGGAATTATGAAAGTTAGGTAATGCTTTAGAGATCTTATCAGTTTTTTGAGAGCTTTAAGTATGAATTTTTAAAAAAAATTGTACAAGGCTACTATAAGTTCCATCCCTTTGTCAGGTGCCAAATTCAGAAATCAGAAAAATAAAAACCTTTCAAAATAAATGTGCAGTAATAAGGTTAAGTCTTCTGATCTAATCAAGCAAAAACCTTTTAACACAAGCCATTAATGAAGAAATCACAAAACGACGACTCGGCCACTTCTTAAGAGCAAATAAATCCCATCCTGCAAATCTAGAAAGCACACACTCACCTGGCGGGAAAAGGAAAAGGGGACTATTATTGTGAAGATGTTATTGTTGTTGTTAATTTACGTCGCACTAGAGCTGCACAATGGGCTATTGGCGACGGTCTGGGAAACATCCCGGAGGATGATCCGAAGACATGCCATGACAATTTTGATCCTCTGCGGAGGGGAGATTGTGAAGATGCATATGAAGGAAGTTCTTGACAAACTAGGATTGACAATGCCAGATTGGGGGAAGTATGATGCTCTGCCAAAGAAGTATGCTTGGATAAAATGAGCCAGTGTGCACGAAGATTAGGTAGGTTGATTACTAAATTTGAGCACTATCCTGCCCAGGCGATTCATAATTATTACTAAATTTTAGTAGGAATTCTTAAAGAATTGATCGTGTTTACTTTGATTGTTATTAACAGTTCACCGTAAAGTCTTTATAGTTTAAAAACGATTTTAAATTAGCAATTTTTATTGGTAGGAATTGTTTCCGGCAGATGATGTGACTGGCATAGTTAAGTCGGTGAGTATTTAGATACATAATTTTCTTCCCACTAATCTAATTGCAAAACTTTACAAGACAATCTAACACAATTTATTTAATTTTTTTTTTTTTTTGCACAAAAGTCCAATGCAATGCTTTAATTTCACTTTTAATCGAGATTCCAACAGTTTTTGAAAAATTAAAAAAAGTGTCTGTAAATTTATAATTTTGAAAAAAGTGGCTGTAAATTTATGACTATAGCAGTGATTATTTATTTCGCAAAAGCTACTGTTATGCTTATAAAATGAGATAGTTAGATAAACTAAAATCTAAGTTAATATCATTTTTTAATTTTTACATGTTTTGTTAAAAACTAGCATGTTATATAGTTTTATTAGTTCGGAAAATTTTTTTTGGAAGTCAAGTACAATTTTCCCAATTTTTTTTAATTTGATTTTTTAAATTGAAAATTTAAATTTTTTAAAATTGTAATTCACCACAGTTGTTACACGTTACCTCATGATTAGAAACAGCGAAGATAGACTTCTTAGCTCACTCGGCAAAAGTGACTACCGGATCTAAAAAGATTCAAAGTTTAACCCGTTACCGTACCGCCTAGTTGTAAGGTCATTGGAAAGAATTGTACATATTAGTGCCTGGTTCCAGCTAAGAATTTTTGAATTCTTGACCCATTACAAAGTGGGTAATTTTTTGGTGGTTGCGGACAATTCTGTTGGATGGAAATCGGGAGATAAGAGCATCAAAAATTTGTAATATGTTAAAATTAAATCTATTCACGACAATTTTATGCTCAGAGGCGTGGTGACTCAGGAGATAGAGCATTCACCTTCCAATGAACCGGGTTCGAATCCCAGCGATATTCGGTCGATACGAATTTCGCACCCGGCTCACTCCGACCACAGAGCTGACGTAAAATATCCTCAATGGTAGACTCATGGGTTAGAGTCCCCTTGCCGTCAGGCTAACGGTGGGAGGTTTTCGTGGCTTTCCTCTCCATGTAACGCAAATGTGAGTTAGTTCCATCTAAAAGTTCTCCACAAAGTCACATTTATCCCAATACCTCATTCAGGAGTTTCCTTGTCGTCTGGATTGAGTTCAAAATTACAAGGCTACTACGAAGTTGAACATTAGTAGTTGTAAACTCAAAATTGGGTCGGCTGTTCAACGACTGTTATAAAATAAAATACAATTTTAAGCTGGATCGGGATAGCCTGGTTGGTAGGTTGTTCGACTCGTGTTCATGAAAACGGGAGTACGAATCCAGTCGACCGAATAATTCCCCTGTATTAAATGATGACTGGTGCACGTTAAATCTGTCGGAGTCACAAAGTAGTCTAAGTTCCCATTGCAAATCAGTACCTCTAATAGTACTGATCCAGGAGTTCTCTTGTCTTTCGGATTGGTTTCACGAAGTTGAACATTGGTAGCCGTAAAGTCAAAATTTCGACCGACTGTTCCTGGACGGTTATAAATTTAAAAAAAAAATTTATGCTGGTAGCTGTGGTGTCTCAGGGGATAGAGCGTTCGCCTTCCAGTGAGTTGAAATGGGTTCGAATCTCAACGATGGCTGGTCGATGCAAATTCCGCATCCGGCTTACGCCGACGATAGTGCTGACGTAAAATATCCTCAGTGGTAGACGGATCATGGGTTAGAGTCCCCTTGCCGTCAGGCTAACTGGGAGAGGTTTTGATGTCTTTCCTCTTCATTTTGCACAAATGCGGGTTAGTTCCATCAAAAAGTCCTCAACGAAGGCAAATTTCTTGACCCAGGACATCCTTTGTCTTCTGGATTGGGTTCAAAATTCAAGGTTAAGGAGTTGAACATTAGTAGTTGTAAACTCAAAATTTGGTCGGCTGTTCAACGACGCTTATAAAATATAAAATTGTAAAATTTTAAGCTGGTTCGACTCCGGCTCGACAAAAACTATTTTGAGCCGTAGAGGCCCAGGGAATAGAGGGCTAGCTTTCAAACGAGGTGACCTCGGTTCGAATCCACCTCTCCAAATGCGATAAAAATCATAAATTTGGCGAATAAAATTGTGTTTTGGCAAAAGTATTTGCGAATGGTTTTTTTTCCCGCTAAAAAGAAACTTATATATTTAAATCGATCCTCAAAATTACGTCAAAATGAATTTTTCTATACAAATCAGTATTTTTTATTCGATTACAGCAATTTTTGGTAGATGCGCCTCATAACCAATTAGAATTGGGTCCAAATAATATAAGCCTGAAACAAACTACCATAAAATAGTTTTCTATAGGGAAAAATAGATTTGCGTTTGGAGAAGACTTTCAAAAATTGAAGAATACTTTTGATATTTGGCCAATTTACTGTCGAATAATGTGAAATCCTTAGCTCGGGCTCTGTGATAGCATGACGCCGTTTCTCCTTCGTATTAAACACAACATGCAGAGTTGAAAGTTAGACGATTTTATTGTTTAGCATGACATTAAAATACCACAGGACTTATTTCAGCAAATTTGAAAAATTAGATAGCAAAACACATCAAAAATTATAATTTAATTTTCAGGTAATAAAAGAAGTGTTTGAGACTGATGAAAATATCAATGATGATATTCTAGCCGAACAAAGAGCAATGGCTGTCGAAGAAAAGGTTTTGTGGAATCTTTCCAAACTACAAAAACCATTCAAATATATAGGTAACTCGTTAAGCCATATTTATACGCATAATATTAGTTACTATAATTTTATTTAATATTTTGAAGTATAAATAAAACGTTGATAAATGTGTGGAAGAGTATGAATATAAATCTAGGATGAGATAAAAATATTGAGATTTTGAAATAATAACGTGAATCGATATACTGATTTTACGGGCACATTTTGATTGTGAAATTTTTAAGTTGAGAGTGAAATCTGAACTTTATCATTGAAAAAAGACTTTTCAACACAATAAATTTTTAAAGAAACTTCCTGATGATTTTTAAAGATGTTTAGACTTATTGAAGTTATATGTCTGCAAATCCCAAACATATGTTACGATAAATGCTTCTGTAAATTCCTCTAAGATATGATGTAATACCCGTTCTTTTGGTCAAAACTCTTAATGGTAAAATGTCCACAAATTAGTAATATCTTTATATAGCATAAAAATATAGTAGTATAATGTACTTTTCCATTGTTTACAGCAAATTTTTATTCGTGAGAAAATCACATGGTTTCACCCAGTTTACCACATGAATTTCCACATCGTTTTGGTTGTCATCGGCGTAAAATTTATAAAAGTCATAAAAGTTTTCTTATAAAATATTAATTTAAAGGCGTTTACCTGTAATATACATTGTTCTTACTCTACTCTGCTATTATTACGTTTTTGATCAAGTATTGGGAGAAATTTGCCTTTTTGATGGAACTAACCCGCATTTGCGTTACATGGAGAAGAAAACCTCCCACGGTTAGCCTGACGGCAAGGAAACTCTAACCCATTATCCATCTGCCACTGAGGATATTTTACGCCAGCACTGTGGTCAGTGCAGGCTGGAGGCAAAACTCAAATACACCAGCTATCGGTAGGATTCGAATCCGCTTCACCTCATTAGAAGGCAAACGCTCTATCATCCCCTGAGCCACCACGGATCAAATTTCAGGGATTTTCAAATTTCGTGAACCGAATAAAGTTCACGAACACGGAATAACCGTGAGACATAGTTTGATTTCTTACTATATATATATACTTTAAAGCTCAGTTACTCAAATTCACAAAAATGTCATTTAGATCATCTATCTACTCAGCTATTTAATAATCTTTCTGTCAATATAAATAAGAAGAAAAAAACTCAATTTTCAACAATATCATCTTTGGAAATTTCTTTTATACTAGAGAACTGAAATACGAATCATTTGAAATGAAATATGAATCATTTTCAGTGACGTGCGTGATTCTTCAGAACAATGGATCTGGCTTGTGCAGTTCTGCATCTTGTTTCTGGGATAACACAACTGATGGTATGTTTTGCTTTGAAATATTTAGAAGCCATGCATAAATGTTTCAAAGATATAAATTTTGATCTGTTTCAAATATATAAATGTTTCAAAGGTATAAATTTTGATATATTTCAAAGATATGGTGTTTGAAATATATAAATGATGTTTCAAACTTATAACTACACAGGAAAAATTTAAGTGATCTACGTCAACTTGTCGTCCAGGTTTAATGGCATTTTTATGATATTTTAATCAATGTTAAATAGATCCATCAAAGTGAGTTTTCAAAAAAAAAAATTAAGAGAATGAGAATTGCATTTAATAAAATTAAACTAATAAAATTAAATTAATGAAATTTAAACAAATTAAATTAATTACAAAAGATTACAAAGAGTTGGAGATCTTTGAGATCTCCAACTCCAAACTTTGCATCTATAAGCCGCCTGTTTTTACGGCCCTTCTGAGATATGCCACTGCCAGATTCGACTTGGTACTGCCTGTTTGGAAATCAGACTTCCACCAGACCGAGTTATATCCTATCGCTCTGGCCACTATACACGAGAGATACCCTTGCCAGCAATAGCTGCAGGTTTTTACTGATGAATCCGCCACTCTTTCAACTGGTAGAGCTGGAGCCGGTGCTTACTCCAAGTATTAGAGGCCTTGAAGAACCTCTTAACACTTGGGCAGATAATTTTGATGGAGAAATGTTTGCAATCCTTATCGCTATTACAGCTATTGGTGAACCGTCTGAACAAAACATTGTTATCTTTCTCGATTCTCAGGCTGCTATTCAGACCATTTCTGAATATAACTTATACCCCTCTGAACTTGAATTTAAATTTAAACAACGCATTGACTCTCTTCTTTGTTCTGGAAGAGAGGTGGTCCTCCAGTGGATCCCTGGCCATTGTGGCATTTACGGAAATGAACGAGCTGACATGTTGGCTAGAGAGGCTTCAGCATTGCATCCATCTTCTCATCCAGTTCCCCTTAGAAATGCAAGGCGGCTTCTTAAGAGCAAATTCAGGCACAGAACAATATCTGCTCTTAGGGACTTAGCTGATGGAAAGTCCTGGGCTAGCCTTCTTGATGACCAGTAGCGCTCTCACCTTTCCCTCCTTCCAAGAGCTGAAGGAGTTGCTTGCCTTAGAATAATCACTGGACATGACTACTTGCAGGCCCATCTATTTAAAATTAACCTGGTCAATTCACCTCTTTGTGTGCTCTGTAACACTTCGCCTGTGACTGGGGAGCATCTATGTGATTGCCCCTCTCTCCTTGACAATCTCTCTTCTTGTGATTCTCCTCTCTTCTGATTCTGGTTCCTTACGAATACATTTACGACTCGCCCGTCCCGAAAAGGTTAAAGTTTTATTATTTATTTCTTGTTAATGAATATATATTGTTTTTAGGTAGCGTGACTGTTCAATGGGAAAGTTCACTGAAATATTGTATTGTCTCAGTGTTCGGATTAGCCATATAATCAGAAGAAAATGTTGTTGTCAAGCGTTGAAAGTTCTTCCGTGCTGTATTCGTCAGTTATAAAATAAAAGCAAACTGTCAAAATGTTGGTATTTAAAAAGTATTTTCATGAATTTTAATGATATTTACGATTCCAGGGTTCCCACGACCTGGAAAAAATAAATGAGTGGTAGTTAAGAATTTTCAAGGCTTATAATATTTAAATTTATCTTTCATTTGTGAATTACGAAAATATTCCCAAGTTGTTTTTGCATCCTTATATATTGCTTTGAAATTACATATTTATGGACAGCTCAAAACATCAAAATATATTTTACTTTTGTTACCACTTTAAAAAAAAATTCCAGACCGTGGGAACCCTGAAATCAAAAGATCTTATCAAACATTGCCTTGGCCGAAAAATTCTCTAAATACATACGAAAATTCAGTTGGTCGGAACTGTCGGTCGTTTCTAGTGTATTGGAAAATCTGGAAAAAATTAATAACTAGTATCAACTTCCTTATGAAGAAGGTGGAAATTTTTTAATATTAGCTTTCATTGTCGAATTAAAATTGCATAATAGTCTCGTTCGGATCTACAGGGATATTCAAAATTCCCTCCGTGGTTTCGAAGCGTTATAGTAAAAAAAAAGAAGACGAATCTGAAAAAAAGAAACATGAAATTATTCTGAAACTATTCAAGTTTTACATACATACATTACAGGTGTTCTATGCGTGAACCCTTGGTCACACGGCATACATCAATGCGATAGTCCAGTTCTAGCCCTTAGGGAATTATGAATAACCCTGTATATGTATTTATTTTGGAAAAATAAATTATTCTGGTATCTACAGAAATAATAATATAAAAAATTTATTACTATTGCTACCACATTTTAATTTTTCCTGGTGTGAATGAACCCTGTGCTAGTTACACAGAGATGCCAACTTACTCCGGACAGGGGATAAATATTTCCGTGTGGTAATCTTTTAATGTATAATTCTTGGTTTAGTAAATTCGATATACACCGAAGAGCCATCACATTATGACCACCCTGCTAATAACATGTAGGACCACCTTTAGCCCTCAAAACTGCTAGTACCCGCCGTGGCATTGATTCCACAAGGTGCTGATAGGTAGTCTGAGGTATCTGGTACCAAGCGCTCACCGACTGGTCCTGCAATTCCCTCACATTGCGAGGGGGTAGCGTGGCAGCACGAATTTGGTTTTTCAAGTAGGACCACAAATATTCTATTGGATTAAGGTCAGGTGCATTTGGGGGCCAAGACATGACTTGAAAGTCACTGGAATGTTCCTCGAACCAATCCATGACGATTCGACCCTATGACATAGTGCATTATCCTAACAAACTTACACCGGTAAACACCATCACCCGCAGGAAAAACTGTTGCCATGAATGGGTGAACCTGGTCTGTAACTATGTTCAAGTAGCTTACAGACGTCAGGGATTGTTCTATGAGGATTATGGGTCCTAATGTGCCCCATGAAAACATTGTTCCTGGGCGAGAAACCATGAAAACCTGGGCGAGCCCATTGTTATAGATGGAGGATGTCATAATGTAATGACTCTTCGGTGTATATGTATTTTTTACTCACTGCTACTTCTAAATAATTCAAAGGCTTATGTGATACGCCACTTAGTTACAATTATGCCGTATCGTGCCTTTTAAGAAAGTTGTCACAATGAACCGAAAATCTGTAAATATTAGTTGGTAATTGACCGTTTTTTAAACTATTTTGTCGAATCCGGAACAGTTTGCATATCTGGTTATCTTATTGTGATTTTTAAACGATGGCGGAAACTGATTTAAATATTTACCTACATTATTATTTCAATACCAGAGGAAAAGCCTTGATGGCTCAGGAGATAGAGCGTTCGATTTCCAATGAGGTGAACCGGATTTGAATCTCAGCGATGATTGATCGATACGAATTCTGCATCCGGCTTGCACTGACCACAGTGCTGACGCAAAATATCCTCAGTGGTAAACGGATCATGGGTTAGAGTCCCCTTGCCGTTAGGCTAACCGTGTGAGGTTTTAGTGGTTTTCCTATCCATGTAACGCAAATGTGGGTTAATTCCATCAAAAAGAACTCCACGAAGACAAATGTCTTCCTATACTTGATCCAGGAGTTCCTTTGTCTTATGAATTGGGTTCTAAATTACAAGGCTACGGATTTAAACGAACAATAGTAGGATCCAAAAAATTGTGTCGGCTGTTCAAAGACGGTTATAAAATAAAACAAAATACCACTGGGAAGAAATATTTTTTCTAGAGTGTAACAGTTTGCAGTGCAGAGAAAAAGAAACTTGCCCGAGAAAAGAAGATGGCTGAAGGTACCTGGGTAGAAAAACCCAAACCAAAGCAGAGAGGCGAGAAAAGACAAAGCCAAAGGATGGAACAAGATGTAGCCCCAAAGGCTGCCAGGAAAGAAGGACCTGAAGGTATAACCTTTAAGGAAGCTCTAACGGCAGTTAAAATGACTGTGATTCTTGAAGGACATCCTCTTCAGTGTTTATCCGAAGAACAGGCCTTAGACCTTGAGTTCTTGATAACTGAAAAATTTCTAGAAATGCAGAGGGTTTTGTCCCCACTTTTCTTTCTTGCAGACTAGAAAATGGGGCACATATCATCAACTGTGCAGATCTGGGGAGCTCTAAGTGGCTGGAACAGATTATAGTTGAGTTAAACCCATGGCAGGAGCAAACTCTCTTGGTAGGAGAGGCAAGGAAACTTTTCAGAACCACTAAGATCATTGCTAAACTGCCGAAAGTCTGTAGTAAACTGGAGCCCAAAGAGGTCCTGAGAAAGATTGAGGCACAAAATGGTGGGCTTACTCCAACCAAATGGAACATACTTCATCGGAAGAATGAACCATCAGGACAGACCATCGTCCTTAGCGTGCCTGAACTGGACGCGGCTACACTTGGCAAAAGGGAATATAAATTTTATATCGGACTTCACCAAGTTCAAGCCAAAGTCCTAGACAAACCTTCCAAAAACGATGGGGATGAAGGTTCTCCAAGCCAACATCCACCACCGTAGAAGTGGCACCACAAACCTCACCAAGAAATTTCTTGATGAGGATTTTCACCTGGCCCTGATCCAAGAATCTTGGCTTGTCAGGGGAAAAATCAGGGGCCTGAAAGGAACAAAAGGTAAGCTCCTTTATAATCTTAATAGTGAAGCTAGAGCATGTATCCTAATAGATAAAGATATTAAGGTTCTACCTCTAACAGATTTTATTCATAGGGATTTAACAGCAGTGAAAGTCAGACTCAACATAGAGGGAAGAGACCGAGAAATTGTTTTTTGCTTAGTCTACCTACCCTATGAAGAGAAGGCTCCACCTGATCAAACACTGCACAAACTCCTGCAGTTTTGTGCAGAAAACAGCTTGCAGGTAGTCTTAGGGCTGGACTGCAATGCTCACCATACTGTCTGGGGCAGCACAGACACAAATAAGAGAGGTGAGTGTCTCTTAAAATTTATTCTTAATTACAATTTAGATATTTTGAACAAAGGCAATGACCCTACTTTCATAACTTCTAATCGTTCTGAAGTAATTGACATTACTATAGCAACACCGGCTATTAGTAAAAATATCACGAAATGGAAAGTAGATGGGAGACCATCAGGTTCCGACCATCAAAACATCCATTTTTAAATAAACTCCAATATAAATATTGACCGCTGCTTCAGAGACCCCATGAGAACAAATTGGAAGAAATTCCAAGACGATATCATGGGACTGACTGAACTGGGAGAAAATTATATTAGAGATAATTATGATTTAGAAATTGCAGCAGAAACTTTGCAGAACGAAATTCTAGGTTCATACAATAAAAATTGCCCAATAAGTACCAAAAGAGCAAAGCCCCAATGTCCTTGGTGGAACAACTCTTTGGAAACTGAAAGGGCAAACGTTAGAAAACTCTTTAATAAAGCAAAGAAACATGGTGAATGGGACAACTATAAAAGAGCCCTCACCAACTATAACAAAAATGTCAGAAAAAGCAAACAAGAATCTTGGAGAAAGTTCTGTGAAGAGGTAAATTCTATCTCTGAAGGAGCTAGACTCCAAAGAATCCTTAGAAGAGATGAACCTTAAAGGATGAGGATGGCAACTTTGCTACCACTGGAAAAGAGATAATGGAAGTTATGGCCAAAACTCACTTTCCAGGAGCCATTGATATGGATAGCAATGAAGGACAGCATTTCATTGGATCTGTAAAAAGAATACAAAGAAATCAATGGACCTATGCTAAGAACGTTATCAATCAAAACAATGTCAGGTGGGCTATCTCCACCTTCAAACCACTTAAAAGCCCTGGACCTGATGGAATCATTCCTGTAATGATCCAAAAGGCAGGAGATCCTATCATCCCTGTGTTAACCAGAATTTACAGAGCCAGTCTGGCACTGGGACATATTCCAAAGCTATGGCAAAAGACCAGGATTGTTTACATTCCTAAACCTGGCAAAAGTAACTATGACCAGGCTAAGTCTTTCAGACCAATTAGCTTATCTTCATTCTTTCTCAAAATTATGGAGAAAATTATTGATAGGCATATTAGGGATTACCTGGGTAGCAATAACCCCTTGCATAATCTACAGTTTGCCTACCAACCTGGTAAATCTACAGAGACAGCCTTACACAAGCTAGTATCTAAGATTGAAGACACCCTGGAGAGAAAGGAAATTGCATTGGCCACCTTCCTAGATATTCAGGGTGCTTTTGATAATACCTCTCACCCATCCATCCTTAATGCCTTAAGGGAAACAGGGATAGACCAAACTTTATGTTTATGGATTAAGTCCCTACTTATGGATAGAGCCATTCAAATGAATATCTTCAACGAGACATTAGAAAAGAAAACAACCAGAGGCTGTCCACAAGGAGGTGTACTATCACCATTACTTTGGAATCTGGTTGTAAATAGCCTAATCAAACATCTAAATAATACAGGCTACTATACCCAGGGATATGCGGATGACATTGTCATACTCATCCTTGGCAAAGATTTTCACATAACTTGCCAACTTATGCAAAACGCTCTAAGTTATGTAAGCAAATGGTGCAGGGAGAGGAATCTGGACATAAATCCACAGAAGACCAATCTAGTACCATTCACTCGTAAAATAAAAAGGGAAGGCTTTTTTATCCCAAAACTTTTTAACGTTGAAATCAATATTGCCTCTGAGGTGAAATTTTTAGGCTTAATTCTTGACCAAAAACTCACCTGGAATAAACATGTTGATTACAAAATCAATCAAGCAAAAAAATGCATAATGATGTGCAGACGCATGCTTGGTAAAAACTGGGGATTACAACCAAAAATGATGTTTTGGATGTACACAGCAATTGTCAGGCCTGCTTTCACATATGCTTCAGTGATATGGTGGTGTAAAGTGGAACAGAAAACTGTGAAGGATAAGCTGGGAAGTCTGCAAAGACTGGCCTGCTTGTGTATCACAGGTGCAATGTCCACGGCCCCTACCAGAGCACTTGAGGCAATTCTGGACCTGACTCCTTTAGATATCTTCATGTGCAGCTCTGCCAGAATGACTGCATATAGAATGAAATTGCAATATCAATGGTATGACAAGCCCTCTTCTGGAGGTCATACCAGTATTACTAAGAAAATTTACCATCCAACTCTCCTTATGCCTTCTGACTGCATGGAGAGAAAGTACGTGTTTGAAAGACCATTTGAAGTAGTTTTTCCTACCAGAGAAGAATGGGATAACAACACGATCGATACAAAAAATGATGATCTAATCTGGTATACCGATGGATCAAAGAAAGGTAACCTCTCAGGACTGGGTGTCTGTGGCTTGTCACCAAGATTCAACCTTTTTGAAGGTCTTGGGGAGTATGCTACTGTCTTTCAGGCGGAGGTACTTGCTATTGTAAACTGTCTGCAGATAAATATTAAGAAAGGCTACCATGGTAAGCGGATTCTTATTTTCAGCGACAGTCAAGCAGCCTTGATGGCTCTTTACTCATTTCAAGTTAAATCAAAAATTGTTCTGGAATACAAGAATCTCCTAATAGAACTGGCAAAAAGGAATAAAAATCATTCTTATTTGGGTACCAGGGCATATGGGAATTGATGGTAATAAAAGAGCTGATGAACTCGCAAAACAGGGATCCTCTTTCAATCCAATAGGAACGGAACCCTTCTGTGGAATCAATATGAAGACTACAAAGAAGGCCGTCCTAAAATGGGAAAAATAGGAGATGAACAAAGTTTGGCGCAATTCTCCTGGACAAAAACATGATCAGCAGCCCTTCTGCAAAAATTGCTTCTGAAATTCTTAGGCTCCCAAGATTGAAGATTCAAACAATTGTAGGCTTCATCACTGGGCATTATCATTTCAGGAAACATCTACATAGATTGGGACTTTTCGAACAAAAACCAATGTGTCGGAAATGCCGTGAAGCGGTAGAATCAGCAGATCACATCCTATACGAATGTGATGCCCTCGCCCTTAGGCGCCTCACTACCTTAGGCAATCCATATCCTAAGGGACTGTCAGACTATATAAATAAAGTAGGCGACCCAAGACAATGGAACTAGGAAAAATTGGGCTTGGAGCATGGTACAAAATGCAACATGTGCAGAGGTGCCACATATCTGACAAGCTCAAGCAAGAAGAAGAACAGTTTGCAGGTATGATTTAATCTATGCAGGGTGGTACAGTACTGCGGTTACAATCTTAGAGTTAGAGAACATCAAAAGAAGAATTGCAGGGCAACCCATGGCCAAACATGCCGTCGCATGCCACTAGACGAGTTACCCTTTTATAAACTGGCTGTTCATGAGCATTTGAAACGATATTCTTATTAATATGAATTATTTTAATATTATGTTAATTTTAAAATAATTATTTTCAAGAAATTCATTCAAATAAGACTAGAAATGGCTGTTTTATTGTTAGTTGATGTTTTGGTGGCTAATTTGTAGAGTTTGGCAAGTCAATAGTCATCAGATTTTTAAACGGCATAAAAAGGAATTATTTCTGGTGCTATTTGAATACAAATTTTGACTAGTTCATGTTACCTCAGGCGACTAATATTTAATTAAAAGATATTGAAATTAGCAATTTATCTGGCATATTTTTTCAATTTGCTATTAAATGCGATTGAAGAAAACGTTTTAATTTTAAATCTGAATAATTTGAAATGTAAGTCATAGTGGTAGATACGATTGACTAAATAAAGAGGTAATAAATAAATAAAAATGAATTGAGTTTCTACCACTTTTTACATTTATAGTCGCCTGGAGCATCCCTGCTAGTAGTTTTCAGAAACTGCAATTAGCTGTTACCTAGAGAACCTATAATTAACAAAAAATTAAGGTAGGTTTCATAAGTACTTTAACTTTAGTTAAGTAAGTTAGTTAAGTTAGATAAGTACTTTAACTTAAAACTTAAGTTTTAATACTACTTTCCTTAAAATAAAATCACGACAGTTTAAAATTTGATGTATAAAAATTTTAACTGTTAACAAGTTGTGGTAAAAATGGTTGACCAAGTAACGCTACTCACAGATGGCGCTAGGGATTAAAAATCGCCATGAGACTTCCGGGTTACTACTTCCGATTGATTATTACCTCTGAGCTTGAAAAAGCCCATCCAATATTATTACTAGTAATCGAAATGGTTTACAGGTGGCGCAGAGCAGGAACTCTACCTATCGCACCACTCTGCATGTTTTCCGTATTAGCGTGTGGATAGTCAGAGGAGAAGGATCCATGTTAGTTTCTGTCTTGATTTTCGCAAAGATTAAAAAGTTTAAGTTAGGAAATGACACGGAACTGAAGACTGCATTAAACATAGTTTTAAAAGAGAGCGTTGTGAAAATTTTAGGAAATATTTTCGACAATTAAATACTTAAAAATATTATGGAAGGGGAAAATATCATACTGTATTTCCATACAACTGAGGAGAGGAGGAAAAGGAAGAGGGCAGAATCAAGAGATGGAACCAGATGGCTATTTTGGCTCGAGCAGTCAGAACAATCGAGATAAAATGACGCATTGTTGCGGTCTTAATGGCGTAAGAAATTTCTACAATAAAAACAAGCAACAAAAAAAGCATGCTATACAAAGCCATTATTAGACCTGTGCTTACATATGGCTCAGAAACCTGCGACGTGACAAAATCACATGAAAATAGATTAGCCATCTTTGAGCGAATGGTTTCAAGAAGGATTCTGAGTGCAGTGGTAAACAATGGTATATAGAAGCAGAGCTATTATAATGAGATAACATCAATGGTGTATGGAGGCTCATACATAAATAATAATGAGTGAACAACAATGGTATATAGAAGCACATATATAATAATGCGAAAACAACAATGGTATGTGGAGGCACATATATAATAATGAAAGAACAGCAGTTGTGTATGGAGGCACATTTGTAACAATGAGAGAACATATAAATGGAGTCACAAATATAATAATGAGAGAGCAACAATGGTATATGGAATCACATATATAAGAATGAGAGAACAATGGTGTATGAAGTCACAGATGTAATAATGAGTTATATAGGCTATATAAAGTGGCAGAGAGTATCCATTATATTAGTGTAAATCATAAATCTGCTGGACACATCTGCCAAATGGAACAATCTTCCTTAACATTCAGAGTCGTATTGCAAACAGATAAAGACACAAGCCAGAGACAGGCCCTGACTAAGATGAATTGATTGCATTAATAAAGATTTCAAAGAACTTAAAGGGAAAAACTGAAAAATCCTCGTGTCGAAGAGAGTGGAATGGAAAAAAATCCTAAAGAAAGCCTTGGCTCACAAAGAGCTGTCGAGTTAATAAAGAAGAAGTTATCTAAGTCAACTCTTCCAATTTGGGTATAAAATAGCAGTATTAAGTATTATCAACAAATAAGTATTAGATAGCATGTATTTTGATGAGCACGTATACCTTGTTTTTGCATTATCGATTTTAAAAGTAGACTGATTGAGATTCCAGTCCTTATCTCTTTTTTTAAATAAAATAAATTAATAGAAGCCATTGCCCTCAATATGTTATAATATAACATAATTGTATACAATTTTTTTCCAAGCTTCATCAGCATTGGCACGACAGCCCTTTGTGAGCCTGGGCCTTCCTCAGAAGCTTTTCCCATTCTGCCCTTCTTACAGCAATTGTTTTCCGGTTCTTTACTTTTAGGATGGCAAAATCCTCATCTACACAGTCCTTCCATCTCTTTTTGGGCCTTCCTCTTGGCCTTTTATTGGAGGGGGTTGCATTAGAGACTCTCAATGCTGTTCGTTCTGGGCTCATTCTCACTACATGCCCGGCCCATCTCATTCTACTTAATTTAATAGATTTAATGATATCATCGCCATCAAAGATCCTATATATTTCAAAATTATATCTTTTCCTCCAGTTGTCGTTATCGAGTATAGGCCAAAGATTGTTCGTAGGACCTTCCTTTCGAAGGTTGCTAATAACTTCTCTTCCCTTTTTGTTAAAGTCCATGTCTCTGAAGCATAAGTCAAAACTGACTTGATTAATACCTTATAAAGTAAGACCTTAGTCTTTCGCTTTATTAAGTGAGATTTTAATAATGATCTTAAACCATAGAAGCAGCGATTGGCTGCGATTATTCTTTTTCTGATTTCAGGATTGATGTCATTTTGATAGTTTATTTTACAGATTCAAATTTAAAAGAATCTATTTTAAACAATTTAGGGATGGTTTCCATTGTACCACAATACATATATTTTGTTTTCTCCACATTCACTCTTAAGTTAATTTTCTAGCTGATTTTTCCAGTGCCAAAAAATTTTCACTCAGTGCTGTCCTAAATCTTGCGATGATATCTACATCATCGGCGTATGCCAAATTTCCAAGCTTATGTTTCGTAATTTCCTGGAATGCCTTTTTTTCATTTGCCGAAAACAATACACACAATTTTTCAATGAATTAAAATTAAAAACAGAAATACATTAATATGATTGCATTTATGTTCGTAAAATAACCTGGAAAAAGTTTTTCTGGGAATTAATTCTTTTTTAACAATAATTGATATAGAAAAAATAATTCCAATGTTCATATCGATAACTTTTTAGAATCATTCTTACGCCGAATAAATAAATAAAACCTCTGATATGATAGTTATATTAATTATAAGAGATTTCACAATGAAACAACCTTTTTAATTCGTTTCTAACTTTGCGCCTGTTACTTATAATTCTAGTAGAGTACTGATAACATACTAAAAACATGAAGGTAGATTTAATAAAATGGATAATACTTCTGTCAATATTTAGTATTATCGTTTGCGATGAAAGCAACCATTTGGTAATGTAAGCTTGGTTTAACTCTAGCATTTAACCAGAATGCACTTTTATATTTGTAACAGAATTTAAAATGCACTTTATTTAGCTCTGATTATTAGGATGAAATGTTTTTTTTTCCAAGAGCAGAATTTTGAAATGCATCCCCTTTCACTCATGGAAATCGTTTGCATTTATGTTCTAAAACAAAGATTCAAAATTTAAAATGCACTTCATGTATGCAAATTACAGGCATTTATATTTTCCCTTAAAGAATGTTAATATATTAGCGTTAAAAATGTAATACGTTTTCTTCTTTCAACAAATGTTTTTTTTTTTAACTTAATGATAAGTTATTGAAATTCATAAGATCTTTTGCATAGGACATTTTTGTCCTCAACATCTTTATGTTAACAAATGTGCTAACATAAAGTGTGGAAGATACGGAGTTTTTGTGGAACATAAGGAGCTGTATAAAAATAAATCCTATTGCTTTCTGTCCTTTGATCACCAACAGTTGAATATTTAACACTTAGATTAAAACATATTCAATACGTTTAATTCCACGTAACGTTATTCGCTAACCTTTAAAACTACTGTTTTAAAGCAAAGCAGCTTAAGCATCGCAAACTGAAGCAGACAATATAAAATAGCATCATAGCAGGCTATCATTTTCTTTCTCATTTTCAAAAAAAAGAGTAGAGGAAGTTTTGTATGCTTTGTAATTTATCAAATCTTACACTGTAAGAACTATGTTGTAGCTTACCGCATTTCTAAGCTTTATATTGTAACAAAATGGAATTTATCCTGTTTATTTTGCAGATTGATGAGACGGTAAAAAATAAATCGTATGTGTTCCAAACAGAAAATGATGGCAGCTCGAATGAATGTAATCCAGTCAGTGGTGTATCCTGCCAAAGCAAACTTCCAATTCAAGACGTTAGAAGAGATGTGATGGATATAACTATATCTAAGCGTAGTTCCCACGTGAGTAAAATAATATTAATATTAATTCCTAAACCTCTGCAAATCAATCCTTAGTGTAAATCCTTTGTGTTCTTCCAATGTAGTGACTTAGTTTGTCAACTGGTATTTTTTTACATGCATAATTTGGTTTTTAACTAGATGTCTAGTTTCTGAATTCCAATATAAATGCTGTTCTTCGCTGCTACCTACTTTCCTTAACTAAATACTTCCCTAATTTTCTCTACTATTTTATAAATGGACATTTGAACACTGAGTCTAGTTTTTTGATGTTTAATAAACTCATTGGCTTGTTGGTTTCGATTCTTTAGGCATAATAGACGGGGGTTAATATGTTTTGCTAGAGTCAAGATAGTCAAATAGAGCACATATGTTAGACAACCATTAAAAATATAGGTGAAGGTAGGGGAACGTTGATGACGTAAATAATTAATTAGTTTTACTATATGGGTCATTTATAAAAAAAACTTTCACGTTTGATGTCCCATGATTTTAAGCAATCTTAATCACTGAAATAAAATTTCAAATAACATTTTTAAGCATTCAAATTAATTTATTATAAGTTATTAGTATATATGGATACATATAAATTAGTATTTTGAAAATAATGTACGCGCAAGATCTTTTTATTACGTTACATACAACTAAATTGCTATGTCCCAGCCTTCGTATTTAACTGCAATTAAACCAGCTGTTAATTGGAAAAAATTTTAGTTCATCTATTTGTGAAAATTGTGTTACATGAAATATATAGAACAGATTATCTAAACTGTAATTTTAAAATTTCTTTTTTAGAAAAAATCAAACATTTTAATGTTGTGCCAGAATTTTTTTCACTCTGTTAATACATTCTATTACCATAGTTAATGTCTTAAATTATTCAGTCGATTGTCTTAAATTAGGTCCCGTGGAAGTAGGCTTTTTAGTTTTTCCCGTTTTGTATAAACAATTCTTTGTATTGGAACTTGTACAAGTAAATTGACATCCAGTTTCTTTCTCCCCTCTGTTACTCTTTCACTCCGTTTCCATACTCACGATAGTTAATTGTAAATGCAGAATAGTTTTAAGTGAATTAGCTTTATCAATTTTTGTTTCATAGTTGTAATACAGTTAATCTTTCTGACTAAATTTAAACTTTAAAAATCAGAAATAAATTTAAGAATTTTTTCTTCATGTTTTCCTTTTAAATCATAATGTTAGATACTACACTGAAGAGCCAAAAAAACTGGTATACCTGCCTAATATCGTGTAGGATACCCGCGAGTACGCAGAAGCGCCGCAACACGACATGGCATGGATTCGATCAATGTGTGAAGTAGTGCTGGAGATAATTGACACCATGAATCCTGCAGGGCTGTCCATAAACCAGTG